TTATTATTATTATTATTATTATTATTATTATTATTATTGTTGTTGTTGTTGTTGTTGTTATCGTTGTTATCGTTATCATTATCATTATTATTATCATTATCATTATTGTTGTTGTTGTTGTTATTATTATTATTATTATTGTTATTATTATTATTATTATTATTATTATTATTATTATTTGTGTAACGTACTCCAATTTTGAATGTAAAGATTTATATATGGGGCTGGATTTTTTTACAGAATTTTCCTTCCGCTTTTCTGAATCTTTCAACTTTATTGATGGAATTTAAACATAATTTTCCCAAGAAAGTTTTCAAAAGGAATTCATAATACAACGAACGTACAGCAGTTATTCTTTAATAGAACTGATATCCAATAAGACTAAGCAATGTATACTTGAAATGTATTGCATTTTTTTTTTTTTTTTTTTTTTTTTTTTTTTAATATCTAATTTAAATGTAATATTGTTAAATAATAGTATTTAAAAAAATTTCCGCCATTAAATTTGCATTAAATTTAATGTTTATATATACGTATAATAACTCGATATACATTTATATTTACGTAGAATAGAAATAAGTCAATATTAATGATAAATTAATAGATTTTCAATAAATATCAATAATTATATATAATTATTGTCAATACAATTGATTTTTGGTGCTTGCAAATAAAAAAGGCTTGATTATTAAAGTATTTATCGATTAAAATGAAAAAAAGAGGTTATTTTCAGCAGTTGGGTCGCATTTGTGTTTTTCTAGTAACTCGAGCCCCCAGCGCCGTAAATCAATTTTCCAGGAACTATTATGTTTTCAGTATACCATACTTTTGTAATTAACTATTGTAACTTTAGTCGGTGTGTACTTCTTTTAATATGGAAAATCTAAGAATTTTATGTGTAGAATTTAGTTTGTATCGAATTTTCGGCAAACATTTGCTCTTAAAGACCAGTTAAAGCATTGCCTTCAACATATTATATTATCCGTTAACAATTCGTCAAATATATTATATTGTACAGTCCCAATTCGTTCAATTAATTATTAAATTATCTATAGTAACTAAATGTTAATCTCAGTTATTAAATGGACATAATATTGCCAATTCTAAAATGTAAATTCGACCTTATTTGTTGATGATTTTTATAAAAAATTAGTAAAGCCAGCGATGAAAATTTTTCCTCATACCACGTGAAACTATAGAAATGCAGGTTGCACATCCATTCGTAATAAGGAATGTTTTGAAAAATTGTGATTAATGATTCTGATATTTGATCAATGTTAATTAAATATAATTAATGTTTGACGCCAAGTAAGAATGTTTTCTTTAAATCTAATTTTAAATATGCAATGGTGTACATGTGCTTATGACATTTATTGTAATACGCATAGATACATGAAAAAATCTTAAAATTCCTTTTCTCAAATCCTACAATTGAATAAATATTGAATTAAATTATATGGAAAGTTAAAAATAAATGGAACAGTCATAAATCCGTTAATCCTCTTATTTATAAATACATATGTAATGTAGTTGGGCTCGTGACATGTATATTAAAACGAATCGGAATCCAAATTCTTCTGTTTCTCATTTAATATCTATCAAGTTTATATCACATACAATAATTTATATATCATAAATATCATATATCATAAGTAATTATTATATTATTTTTTTATGTATTTCTCACTCAACTTATCAGTGTTTTATTGCATAATCAAACAATTTTGAAACAATAGAACAAAGACAGTTAAAGTAATAAACTTTATATTTAAAATCAAATACATAATATCAGATAAGCTAATTTTATTAATAGGGTGCGTAAAATATATAACGAAATATCAAATGAACGACTGAGTAGAACGAAGAAAAATGTGAAATATTTATTATTCAGACGTAGAGAGAAATAGCGTACACACTTATTGAATCATAAAGTCGACACAAGGTCACGTAAAAAAGAAATAAGTTAACATTGTTCTTAAATTTTTAAGTAAACAATGTTTGATTATAGTAAAATTTATACAAATTACACTTCAAATGGAAGACTAATATATTAATAACAAAATGAAACAACTACGTATAGAGAATCAGTCATGCTCGAGGAATAAAAAATCATTAAATATTGATTTAAAAACTCAGGAGAAAAGAGTATTGGTATTTTTTACAAAACGGTAAAAATGCCAAGGAAGTGTGAAATATTAAAAAAAAAAAGCAAAGAATTATGAAACTATATTGTGTATAAAAATAAATTGGTTAGTTAAATATAAATATAAAAAATGTTGTTAATGAAAGTTGTAGTGACTAATCGAGAATGTTCTTACTGCAAGGGTGTAACATAGATTTTTTTTTCTCTGATTTTTTTTTTATTTATATTAGCTGGAAGATGTTGCAATTAAGAAAAGTGATGGAATATTTCGGAACTTAATTATGTGATTGAATAAATATATTAAATTGTACATAAGCGTTGGCGAGTGAAGTAGAAAGAAAAAAAAATAAATAAATAATGCATTCGAGCAAGAATGGGAAAATAGGACACAAAGGAAAAAATATATAGACGATAAAACGATGAGAATAAAAGTTGGAAGGAATCTGAAGAAAGATGGCAAATGAAGTCTTAAAAAGGTAGAAGCAATTGAGCAGGAGTGGAAAATTTTATTAAATAGAGAGAAAACGAAGGCAAATAATCAATGTAATGGTAAACGAAGAAATTGAATGGGAAAGGCAAATATAATTATTTCCTATATCGTATAGAAAATGTACTGCAGAAAAAAAAAATATATATAATATGAAGTAATAAAACGAGATTGGAGAGCTATCGTAAAGACAGTTTAAAAAATTAGTGAAATTGTTAAATGAAAAGCAAAAAAAAAAAAAAAAAAAAAAAAGAAAGAAAAACTGCACTTGTTAAGCTAATTTAAGGCGGCGGGAGGTAAAGTAGAGGAGAGAAAATACTCGAGACTATAAAATAAAATTTAATGAATGTAAAAATTAAAAACTTGGTAAATGATCGATTGAGTGATGATAAAGTTATATAGAAAAGTGTAAAGAGCCATAATTCATCGGGAGTTTAAAGTTATACAAGAAACGAGAAGAGATAACACGACTGTGAGGAACTTTAAAATATAACATAAGAATAAAATGCGACGCCATTAAAATTTGAAATTTACATTATACAAATTCTCAAAAAAATAACTATTTTAAGAATATAATGCACAGGTTTGCATCAGACTTAACGTAATATGGATACATTTTTTATTTATTGTTTTTTTTTGTTTTTTTTTTTTTTTTGGTAAACAAACGTGTACAAATTTCATATGTTTATTATTAATCAATATCAATTGAAAAACAAACGCATTTATTTCCAATTGCACTTATTATAAACGATAACAACATCATCCGCTTAAAAAACAATTTAAAGTGATAATCTATCGTGTGCGGTGGTGCTTTATTGACTATAATCATGTTTTCGAGAAGTAAACATCCGCCGTATCGAGCTATTCTGACGAACAAAATTTTTCGAATTTCACTGATAGACGACGCATTTTATCGCAATTTCTCGCTAATACTCCAAGCCATGAATAATCGAACTAATTAAAGCTTTAACGAGCAGTGAAACGACCTTCGTGTTCTCCTCTACTCATTTATTAAGCAGCGTGTACTCGAATATTGCAATAATGCCGAAAAAAAAAAAAAAAAAAAAAAAAAAAAAAAAAAAAAAAGAGAACTATCCCCGTTCCCAAGGACTATTCGTTAAAACCATTGGACAACCATCATCATACAATTAATACCAACTAGAAACTTTATCTATCTATCGATAACGTCGTGCATAACGAAACTTACCCTCTATAGACTATTTTGAAATTCACGGTGCGCAATATTATAAAAATTGTATGTATTGCCATTACCCTAAGATAAATGGCATTTCGAACGAGCGCTTTCTCCTACGCAGCTTTGTTCTAAAAAATTAGGCAAGTCGATAACGGGGAACGATAGACGATACCCTACCACTCAATTAACATGGCCTAATAATACTACTAATAATAATAATCATCGTCGTCGTCGTCGTCGTCGTCGTCGTCGTAGTAATTATAATAATTATAACAATAATAATGTAAGGCTCGAAGGTTGTTCCGTATCGGTAAGGGTACGCCGAGATTATTACTTTTTATTTAATAAAAAATAGCGAATAGAGGGACTGACTGTCGACTAATTTGATCGAATGAATATTTGCTTGGCACCGATTGAATACACCAACGCGCCTTGTGAGAGAACCTCGAGAGGAAAGATATTGGAAGGGCTTGTTGCACAACCTGGCACCGCGGGACGTCGCGAGTCTCTTCGCTAAGTCTCGGGAAACGCGCGTCGATGCCCTTTCCTATTGGTCCTATCCAAGGAGAACCGGCTTCGCCGCGCGACTGCCGAGCGGCCGACAAAGTAATGGTCATCGTCGGGTTCGCGATCGCGGAATGATCGGAAGCCAGCGGTTGGCGAAAAGAGAACGACAAGCCATAGTAACGTGAGACCCGGCGGTCTGTTATGGGCAAAGGGGTGGAGGAATGAGGGAGGGGGGCCAGAAGGAAGAGGAGGGACAACAGTGACGATGACGATGACGATGACGATGACGATGATGATGACGATGATGATGACGATGAGGATGACGACGACGACGACGACGACGACGACGACGACGACGACGACGACGACGACGACAATGAGGACCGGGAAGACGACCGCCGGCCCTTCTCCTCCTTATTCCCCCGTGCGTTCCCCGGTTACGATCGGCTAGGTGGCGGTGGGGACGGAGGCACGGTGACCGAGACATATCGGTTGACATATCGCGACAAGTGCTACGGTGAAACGCTGCTGCTGCTGTTGTTGTTGCTACTGCTGCTGCTGCTGTTGCTGCTGCTGCTGCTGCTGCTGCTGTCGCCGCTGTTGCTGCTGCTGCTACTATTACACTACTACTACTACTACTACTACTACTACTACTGTTGCTGTTGCTACTTTCGGCCTCTTATCGGCGGGGAGCGAAGCCGCGCAGTTGAGAAACGCTTGTGGCCGCGGACGAACGTTCCCTCGCCTCTCGTGAATCGTCGAAATCCGTGTCCGTGTGGTTGCGTTAAGGCGCGCGCCTTCATTTCTTTTTCTCTTAGACATCTTACTTTCTACGAGGACGTCGGTGCTGCTGGCGCCGATAAAATAACCGAGCGAGCCATGGTTGGTAACCTAAAATTGTCCACGAGCTCCCAGTGCATCAAGTACCTTATGTTTGTCTTTAATCTACTGTTCGTGGTAAGTTTAACACTCGTCCTGTGACAGTTTCGCTACGTCGTCGCTCCAGATTATAAAAGTGTTTTAACACACGAGCGATTCCTCTCGCAATTGCCCTCACTTACTTTTAATCGAGAATCGCTGCAGGAGAGTGACGCTATCGTGCGCGCGCGCGCACACGCGCCCGTTTAATGCACCGCTATTTATTGCTCGCGATAATTAATTTGTAGATGATAAATAGAAGCTTTGAACTTGTGCATGCGGCTGTTCAAGTACGTGGCTTCTAAATCACTCGGTGATTGTGCTTCGATGGAGCTCGCTGTAATTTACTATGATATTTACTGGGTGTGAGTAAACACGACGACGGCCGCCTGGTCATGGCGTGTTGTATGGATTTAATTGTGATTGTCGCAAGCACCATACGCTCGTACGTGCGATGCGTGGCGATTCGATTAGATTGTACTCGTAGGTGTTTGGTTTTTATAGTTGGGGTTAGAGCCGAGGTGGTGAAGGTGAGGAATGGGCGTGAGAGAGAGAGAGAGAGAGAGAGAGAGAGAGAGAGAGCGAGAGAATGAGGGGGGGGGCAGATGATTATGGCAAATGTCGTGTACACTCGATTGGATATCGTAATTAATAACGTAGCGACGATTTGGGGGGGGGGGGGATTATTCGTTAGGCTAACAAACACTTGGTAAAGAAAGAAATTTAACGGCGTGCAAGTCAAAGTGCTCATCGTTTGGATATTCAGAGGAAAACACGAGACCGGTTTACGGCGTTACTTTTGTCCTAAATACGCAATATATTTTTATCAAACTGCGTAGAGCATGAAATGTCGTCTAATGAACTATGGAAACGATTTATTATGATATGTCTGATACATAATTTATAATGATATAATGTAAGGGGGCATGCTTGCGGAATCGTCGTAAAATCCATTATTTAAGGTTTCCGCGTGAAAGTTAAAACGTTATTGTTAATGTAATTGTTGTGTGGAATTTCGTTCGTGTTTACGCGGAGATTCGAAAGACTCGGACACGATTGTTAATTTATCATTTTCCTTTTATTGATAATACCTGATCCAAGTTAAAAGCGTATCTAATACTTTAAGAAGTTCCCAGAATTTACGAATTTCTCTTTAAAATTGATATCGTATTTATTTTGTGATTAATGAACCGCTAGTACGATAAGTATGAGTCATAGGGCTAATTTACGAATCTCGTACTGATAAAGGATAAGGCCGTGAGCATTGAATTAAAAACTTGTACGAATGTAAATCGAAGTAAAGTTATTTTCTATTTTAACGAGGAAAAGTGAATTTCCTCGACTCTGAGGAATTAATGTGTGAGGAGTTTGTTGAAATGATTTTTTTTTTTTTTTTTTTTTTTTTTTTTTTTTTTTGATGAATGCTGTAAATAGAAAGAAGAAAAGCAAATAATAAATACTTGGCGAGAAGTATTTATCTTATGAAAAGGAAATAAGGCTTTATTTGATAATACATTAATTACTCTATTTAGATTTGTAAATTTGAATCATACCGACCTAAATTACTACGTATGATAAACGTAACCGCAATCTTCGGTTAAGATCATACGTATAATAAAAACTAATACGTTGCTAGAAAATATATCAATAGTGTCAACAAACCATTCTTCCTTATTTATTGAGGGCTCAAATTATTTAATTAGTAAATAATTGCCCGGCTAATTCATCAGTCCGTTAAATAATCATATACTTATACAATATGTGGTGATATGTGGTCGTGCACCAACATAATCGTCATCATGATCATTATCATCGTTTTCATTAATATAATAATCTAATTATATATGAATTTTCTACATGAGGGACAATCAAGGTAGACAAATATTGTCCTATACTGTGATAGAGATTTTTACAATTTTATGATAAAAGTCAGATTAACTAATATTAACTGCGCATGTGTACTAATAATTAAATTAGCAACATTTATTATAGAAAATATAGATTTTTAAATGTACTTTTACAGCAATTGTTAGATAAGGAAAGTTGCTTAATTAAATAATAAGACATATTAATAATTCCATTTTATTTGGTAAATTAATTCTTTTCTCAAGGATTTATTATCTTACATAGGATTACGTGTTTTTTTTTTCTTTCTTTTTGGGCTATAATACGATAAAGAATTTCACGATGAGTGCATAAGAAAATGAAACGAAAGTAACAAAATTGCAAAAGAGCAATTACTTCTCATTGGGTAGTATTGAATAAAAATATCGTATTTGGCAGCTTCGAGCTTACTTTTAAAACCTTTTATTATTATTATTTTTATCTCCATTGCAATTATTCTCATATTTCATTATTTAGATCGATTGAAATAAGAAAGAAAACCTTGCCTTTCCTCTTTTATCTTAATCTTTTTTATTATTTTATTGCTTATATTTTGTTCTTGAGACATATAATCCATATACTCTCTGCAACATTTCTATTAATAAAAGAAAAGTTAATTATAAATTCGAAATGATTTATAAAGCTAACGACTGTTACGTGTAATATAATTTATTATATTGTGTATTAATAAATATAAATAGCTCATCTCTTAATTATATGAATCGTTTATTAAAAACGACTTTAATTATTTGTTTATATATAATATATTTATTCTGATTAAATTAAATATGGAAATGCATTATTATAATAATGTGTATATCGTGCGCATTATCTCTCTCAATCCAGTAAAAGTAGCAGGAGCAGCAATTAATAAATAGGATTTTAATCGCCCTTCTCTCTCTCTCCTCCCCGCCGCCACTCGCGCCTTCTCCCATCAAAAGCATAAACGACATACTAACGCACACACAAGCATGTAAAAAGTTTACGTTCACGGTGTAGTAAAAGTAAGTAACTTCTTTCATCGATAAATACTTATATTATTTTCATCTAATTATTAGAAATATTATAATATAATTAGTCTTTTGTATTCCCCCTACCCTTCCCTATCCTTCCCTATCCTTCCCTATCCTTCCCTATCCTTCCCTATCCTTCCCTACCCCTATTCCAAATACTATTTTTACTGTTGCCATAAGATCGGCGTGAGTTGGCGGAGTTGGGCAAATGGGGTGGGCGGGAGTTTGGGGGGTGCGACGACGATTAAAACACGAGGATGAACTTTTTAATGCGACGATAAGTTACAATCGAGATTTAAAAAAAATTCTCGCTGCGGACAGGATTCGAACCTGTGCGGGTAGAACCCAATGGATTTCAAGTCCATCTCCTTAACCGCTCGGACACCGCAGCCGTTGATGTGAATTGTCGTTTTAACTATTAATTACCAGTCGATCAACTCGTCGTCTCTTTCGCATTCTTTTTTCTAAACAAATCGTAGTTTATTTAATCATAATTAATTGATTAATTTGCATTTTATAATCGCCGCTATTCATTTGTAATGGAATGGGCAATTTGCAAGAATTGATTCGCGTGTCGATGTGAAAGTATAACGGGCGTATTTTTAAAATCGTCACTTCCATTAATATTCCATATAAAAATATTAATTTAACATACGACGTTAATCGTTATCAATAATTTCATACTGAGTAGGGAATTACTTTATCGGCAGATATTCGTCAGCATTTAGCGCTTTAGTCTGTCTTTTGTATAATCGTAATGCGTGGGAAAGTCCAAAGGTAATTCTAGCTGAATCGCATCGATTTATAAATGTAGCGTTGTTTAGTAAATATTTGTAAAATTAAATATTAAATGTATTTTGATCGTATGTCAAGAAGAGTTTTCTAATACCTTACACTATTAACAAATATTTCATTCCTTTCATTCCGTCCTTCTTGCCTTTTTATCATGAACGCTAAACACAATAAAATTACGTTCAATGTATTCTACTTTATTTCATTCGTATCAATGCTAAATTGCATTTAAATATAAAGGCTTTTGGAGGGAAATAGAAGCAGAGCAAACGAAGCCTAGTGAGCGAAGCACAGTGGGTCATTTCTACTAGAATCAGTCAATGTAATTAGATTACCAGTGAAGACTTATATTGAAGAGTTGTTCTATAAAAAATTTTAATACATAAAATAGGGTGTCGGCTAATTGGAACTGCTCCTGTTAAGTAGACAATTATAAAGTTTGTAAGAAACTTTGATTTAGTTAAATTTAAGAAGATTTTTAATTTAATGAATAATTTATTGAAATGCCTTCGGCTTACGTAAAACGTCGTTTTCGCTATTTTATAGACGATAACGAACCTTTATTATATCCTTTATAAATAAATAAATAAATTCTAAACATACATTCAGTACGAAAACTTTTTTTTTTATAAAAAATTGATAAAAATATGAATGCGCGCACGTCACATCGAATAAAATATTTTAAATATTTTAACGAATAAAAATACACACCGCCATTGTATTAAAAATAATTTGATATAAATTTGATAAATAATGTTGTATTTATTCCAAATACAAGGCATTGTTTTTCATGTAATACTTAATATTATAAAATAACGACACGATCGACTATAAAGACCGATGTATAATAATTTCATTAACATTATTATTTTTTTCAGATTACTGGAATTATTTTATTGTCAATTGGATCGGTAATACACAGTGTCTATTATAATTATCATCATTTTCTGGATGACAGATTTTTCTCCGTACCATCACTCTTAATAGCGGTTGGATCTATTATTTTTTTTATCGCCTTTTTCGGATGTTGCGGGGCTGTGAGGGAAAATTATTGTATGATTGTTACGGTAAATAATCATATTAATTATTACAAATTCATGGCATTATATGATAAAACATAAGCATTTACTTAGCGATACTTTTTCTTACTTACGATGCTCGAAGTCTTAAATGAAATTATTGTAACGATAACGTAATGATACATTCGAATAATTGAAATGCAAACTCAACGATTTTCTAAGGAATATATCATTTACTTGCACATAACTAATATTTGCATGAAAAATTATTATTACAAAATTAAATTATATGCTAATTCATCGTTCGTAAGTGCAAAGAGTCAATGTTATTCAATGTAAAGAAATCCAAACACCTTATTATTTTCCACCTTATATCGTAGTTAAAACCATTATGAAGTTAATATTTACATATTTATTATTGCAGTTTGCAACCCTGATGGTCCTAGTGTTTATTTTAGAATTATCTGCTGGTATATCCGGTTATGTTTTGAGAAATACCGCATCGGAAAATATTCAAGAAAAAATGCTCGAGACTATGAAAAATTATAACAAGAGCGTGGATATAACTGAAGTCTGGAATAAGCTACAAAAAGACGTAAGAATCTTTTTCTTTATGTGTCTATTAGCAACAAAAAAAAAAAAAAACAGCGAATATATATAGGAAAATTTGATTATATAGCTGATAATTATAGAGATTAAACTTAAAAATATACTAGCATATTGTTTTATAAATCAAATAAGACATTAGTTGAGACATGTTTAGAGCCTCTTCTTGTAAAACCGATGCCATTGTTATTTATAAAAATATCATATTATATTACTTATTTTTCAACAAAGATTATTAATTTTGTAAACTTTTTATGCTAAAACAAACAAAAAAAAAAAAAAAAACAGAAAAAAACACAGAATCCTCAAAACTTTTACTTACTGGTGGTATATACTACCGAATGTACACTAAAGTAAATTATCCTTTCTTTTTATAAAATCGTAATTTTTCTACGAATGATCTGCAAAATTTTTCGATATTCAATAATACACAAAAATGTAAAACGGTATTTCGGAAAAATTATTCTATAACATGTTCAAGATAATAATTACTATGTTTTTAAAAGCTTCGGCAGACAATTAATTACCAAATTTATTTTAAATATTAATCAAGATATATATGGAATTTCCAAGTTAATTATCAATATTTTATCATTAACAATCAATATGCGCATCTTCAAAGTCTAATCTAATTTTCAGTCCAAATTCCTAAGTACGAATACTAAATGAATGGTAAAAGAGTATCTTAATTTTTACTATTAAACAAAATTGCATGAAAATGACTAAGTGTCGACTACAAATTAAAGCTTGGCTTTGTACATTATGTCAATACCATAAAATGTTTTAATATTTTGTATCGAAAGCACGAATTTCAAATTTCGAAAATATTTTTGATTCTTGATATTTTAAGAAACAATCGATTCCTTCGTTATATAGTTTCTCTAAACATATATTTATCATTTGAAATCTATCTTCACTTATACCAATAAGCAATAATTGATAATCAATAATTGGATATTTGGTGACGACAATGTAAAAATAAAAATAAACTATTTAACGTGAATTCTTAAACATTGTGTAGTAAACATAAGATAAGAATTGATAGGTCGTGACTTTGGGATTTTTAACAAAAATTCATATTAACCGTTTGTGTTTATAAAAAGTGAATATTCTCTCATAAAATTTGTGATTCAGCTCTTGTTTTATGATTATTATGTTTATTTATTTATTTATTTATTATTTATTTTCTGAGATCCCAACATTGTAATTAAAAAATAAAAAAATACATATAAATATTTACAGAGCAAAATAATCGATTATTTTTTAAGCACTTTTGAAAAAGTTTCCTACAATAATCACATCCGCTTGGCGTATAATTATTATACTTTTATCGAGCAAAGAGTTTCTAAAAAAATCTAAAAGAAATTAAGAAATATCGTTCGTAGCATCGGTCATTCAATGTACAATTTGACATGCCACAATACCACAATTCACTGTCTAAATAATATTAAAAAAAAAAAAAAAAAAACAAACGCCGAGGGAACATCGCCATAGCAAACCATCCACATCGTCTTCACGAATAAAACGAATGGCAATTTGTTTCATGTCGACAGTTTGAATGCTGCGGGACGAATAACCCCACGGAGTGGACGCGGCTCTTGGGAAACGACACCCTGCCTACCTCGTGCTGCCCGACGCAAAACCTCAAAGACCTCGGCACCATTTCAACCTGCCACATCAACTCCACCAATGTCTACAAAGTCGGCTGTCTACCGGCTCTCGAGTCATTCGTCAAGGCGCACGCGGTGCAACTCGGTGGCGCTGGCCTTGGCATCGCCTTCGTCCAGGTCGTACTCTACTCGTCAATACTCGAAGCATTATTGAGTAACCGGCGAAAGTCAGGATGCCTTTCCTCTTATCCCTCTTCCTCTGACATTCCGCAAATCCGGCTGTTCTTGAGCTTTCGTATGTCTTTGTAATGGTGACATTGTACGAGATACCGAATGCTGCTGATACATCGGCTGCGACAAGACGAGAATTAATTACGCCCTGGTGTAGACTATAATGTCACGAGAGTACGCGTGCTGCTTCATTTGGCCTTTCTTAAATGCTTGCAACGACACGGGACTTTTACTTCCGAATGAACAAAAGTGAAATCTATCGATCGGTCATCCGTAAACATTGTGCCTCGGTGTTTTTTTTCTTCTTTTTCTTCTGTTTTCGTTCTTCTTGTTTTAATGACACGTATGTCAGAGGAAAATAAAATGCCCAACGTGAATATATCGTTTAGCAATTAATTAATAGAATGTCGAGTAGATGTTGGTACGGATACGTAAATATAATATTTATAGAGCATTGGTTTAGCTACATTATAATACCCTTTCAGACAGTACAATTATTGACTGACATTTTTTGAAAAATATCGCGGAGATAAACGAAGAAGAAAAAAATCGTTGAATAAATATGAGATTATTTTATGATGACAGTTTATTAACGATACCGAATTTTTGTTAACAAAATTGTTTTTAATCAATTGTATGAAAAGAATTTACTTCTTATATGTTTAATTCTTACCTTTCCAAGTAAATACATTCTTATCTCTTTATTTTCTGTGGACGGTCGTAAAAGAAACTTTGGCATGTAAACATTTAAAAGTTTTAAACAATCAAATGAATTTAATATGAATTTTTCCTCGATAAAATCTGTCGCATTAATATTATTCAGTCATTTGTCTGCGTTCTGGACATTATATATAAACTTTTATTTTAGTTTTCAGTTACAACTTACCAACAAAGATATTAAGAGTATAAGCAAAAAATTAAAAATACTTTTGATTCTTCGTTCATATTTTTGTCTCTCTGTGCGTGCGCGCGCGCGTGTGTGTGTGTGTGGACACTGGACATTAATAAATCGCAAGTACAATCGATATATACATTCAAATAATCGTATAAGTTATTAATATATTTAATAACACAATTTTTACAACCGCTTTAAGTTTCAATTAGTTTCTTTATTTTATATTTCTATATACTTTGAGTAAATCTTTGTTTAATATATAATTGACGTATTTTAATAGGATATACTTTATCTTTTATCAATAGAAATATCTCTATTTTCAATATTTAAGCATTCCTTTATCTTTTAAAGAAATCTTTAATGCGTCAACTTTTATCAGAAGACGTTAATACATGATCACTCCATAAGAATTATAATCGATTGATTAGTTATTAAAAGATTAACAAAATTTATTTATCTATTTTCTTTTTAATGCATTCATAAATATATCTTTGATGCTTTATAAACTTATAGTTTAAATTAGTTTAATTTTTACAAAATACAAAAAAACCGAACGTAAAGTTAAAATAAACATAATTTTTAAATAAATTAAAATATTTTACCCAGCACCTTTTATCAAGAATGTTTATGATTTTATAATTAAGTATGGAGTATTGCGGAATATTATCATCTCTTTAATTCACATTAATACACATATGATTTTTTCCCCGTGATTTACTCTACTTTATCATTAGAGAGCTGCTTATTACTGATATCGTCCTACATTATAATAATAATAAGAATAAATCATTCGCTAAACCATTGTCAAATATTACGATGTAAGATTTTCAAACTTTTATATAGATCATTCATAGTACTATAAATGCTTTTCGATTACTAAAAATAATCCATTATTGCGGACATACTGTATTAATTGTAATTTTTTTTCCTTTCAGGCCACGGGCATCTGGTTTTCTGTGTTTCTCGCAAAGTCCATCAAAAGAAGCTATGAAAATATCCATAGCCTCGATTCTCAAAAATAAAGAACATTTCGCTCATTAGATTAAATAAATATTGCCAGTGTTCGAGGAGTAGAAATTATATCATTTTTTTTTTTTTTTTTTTTTTTTTTTTTTTTTTTTTTTTCCCTCCAATCAAATAAAAAAAGGAAACAAAAAATTAAGAAAAAACATAACTTTATCGAAGCTTTACATTGTTTTAGGCGACTTTTATATCATAAATTGACGCATAAATGATTGAGATACACATTCACAATTTCATATTTTAATGATAATAACATTATTTTATTTGTTTCGTTTATAAAATGGGAATGACACTTTTCTTAATATTAATGCGAAATTGTTGACAAAACAAGATTAAATTTTCAAAAATTCTATGTACTAATAATAGGTTAGTTAATAGATTATCATATACAATTGACCGAGCCAATATTCATTATATATTTCGTGTAATTCATATTTAATGTTATATTAGAAATTTTTGTGATAATGGACAAGCATATTTCACAAATCCGAATACCTATAAGTCAACTGCTTTTCTCAGTTAACATTGTAGTACTACTTGCGATCGTAAAATGACGTGTAACAATTGTACTTAACTTGCGTAATATTATGTAAACAAAGATATCGTGTATATTTTACCTTTGCATTTAAGTTTATTAAGTTAATGTTGCATAAAGTTATAGCTATATGCATTCACTTGACCTTCAAAATATATTTACCACAAGCTGGTAAGCAATTTTTAAATATCAACTCATAAAAATGTATATAAATACACATGTGTCTCGTTTTTTTTTTTTGTTTTTATTATTATTATTATTATTTTTTTTATTTTTTTTTTAACGAATTGTTTGAAAAATATTTATCAAATAAAGATAAACTATAATATTTCGATTGCATTGTTACTTTGCAGGTCTTCGTTAATTGTTCATTCTTCAGCTTCTTTTTTTATACCCATAAAATTCTACTCTTCTCCATATTACGAGTAGTTGATATCTCAATTTGTAATGAGAATTATTTTATTGTAAGCGATGCGCAAAAATACTGAAATAAAAATAAAATTAAAAAATATATACTTAATGCATTTACTTTTTTACTACGATTTAATATTCACGATTACATTGTTTCATATAGCGTTTCGGTGTGTGCACGCGGGCGTGGGCGCGCGCGCATGATGAGGTGGGGGCAGTGTGCACTCGCGATAAAAAAATATAATACTAACGTCAAGTTCTCAGAATGGTTTTCCACAAAAATCTAGCATAACATCGATGTATAAATGTATTCCAACGTGTGACTTTTACCTTATGAATAATGCATAATTTAATAAACATTCGTATAAGTTTGCCCAATTCAATTGGCCGTTCGATAATGCAAATGACAGTATTGGAAATAAATAGTATTTCCGCGTCTAAGAGGCAGGGGAAAGCTAGCGTCGGCCGAAAAGTCATAGAGCGCGAAAAATGGCCGACTAGCGTATGAACGTATAATCGGTAACGTATTCGAGCGCTACAAGTAGATATAAATGACTGGGGCTTTTATTGATTCGACGAAATAATTAAAGCGACGGTGACGACGGTGACGACGGCGAGGACGAGGACGATGACGATGACGAGGACGATGACGACGACGACGACGACGACGACGACGACGACGACGACGACGACGACGACGACGACGAGGGATAAGAGCCGCGAGTGCCGTACGATGTTCTTGCTTGTCAATTGTCATTAATAATGGCCGTAGAAGGTCGGTGCGTGCGGCGTGGCTTCGTCGTTCGCACGTCGATCCAATTTGAAAAAAAAGGTGCATCGAGGATGATCCGCAGGTTCATCGATATCGATGTAGCGCAGACCCAACGACTCAAGTCCCCGTTCCTAATCATCGTACGGATGGTCTTGGCGATAGGAGTAGGGGACGGGTGTGTGTGTGTGTGTGTGTGTGTGCGTGCGTGAGTCGGTGGGAGAGTATGGGGCAGGAGGAACGCGCGCGCTCGCAACGCACATACAGGCAGAAGCGGACGATGTCGTAAACGCGCGGCCGGTAGCTAGGATTTTCCCCGAGCCGCCAAGCACTTATCGTGCAACTCACTGGAGAAGATAACGACCGCGAACACACGTATTGTGCTCCTGCGGGCGGCCACGACAGTTTGTCATAGCGAGTCGCACCGTCAGGTCGGATCCTTGCTCCCATCCACGGCATTCGCACCACCTCGCTGCTCTCCGGACGCGGGGGCCATCCCACCCTGACAATGGCCGCGACACACCTCGACCTCGGCCTCCGCTGCATCAAGTATCTTCTCTGCGCGGTCAACTTCCTCTTCGTGGTCGGTATATAAGCGCCAGCGCGACTTTCTTCTCCCAATTGCGATTTCGTCGCGCTACGAGACAATACGTATAATCGCTGCAACCGATCCCCTTGTGAGATAACGAATTCGGCATTGCATCCCCGGAGATGAGAAAACGACGTGTGAGTGGGCGTGTGCGTGTGCGAGAGTGAGAGAGAGTCGGTGTACAGCTTGATAGAATCGCGCAATATGTGGGGTTAATACGTATTAGCGCCGATTTCAGTAAACGTGTCGAACAACTCATTGCGCTCGATATTCGGTAACAAAATTGTTGAGAACCTTGGCTCGTTGTTTCAACACGAAATCCACGAGCGCTTGCTTACTCATAATTTCAAACTTACTGAAAACGCAATTTCTCGTTTACTTGCATGGCTAGCGTACGACAAGTACGATTGTTGTTGTACCGTTTAGAATGAAGCAAATCATTTTTGCAGTTACAGCTACAATTCCCAACGCTTGCGTATTGTAAGATAAGAAGGTCGACTCTTTCTTTACCATAACTAACTCACCTTTTCTTCTTCATATTTTTTTTTGGTTTTTTTTTGTTTGTTTTTTTTTTGTTTTTTTTTTTGTTTTTTTTTTTGACGCTTTCGATCGTGCCGTTAAATAATCGTGCTTTTTCTTGAACTAAAATATTCTGTGCTTTATAAATGTCTTTCTGTACTTGGAACTCAAAAGTTATCAGAAAACAAAAACAAACCGTTTCTCTTCGATAGTTAAAATTGTTTCATTTTGATTCTGATTTCGTCGAAATGTTTAATCATTTAACGCTTTGTCATTTAATATTTAACTGGTATTTAATTACTTGGAGATAAATAGCCGTTAATAATCACTGGATGAAACGGTATTTAAATTTTATTATCTATCAAAGATATTTGAATGGACGAACAATCGTAAAATTTATGTTTATAACGCAACAAAAAATCGTACAAATAGAAATATCGTTTTAAAAACTAAATATAAAGATAAAAGAAAATAAAAAATAAAAAAAAAATCTTAAATATGATTTAATTAAAGTAGAATATTTTTCACGAAAATTGTTGATACCGTGAATTTTCAAAATTTTATGTGATATATATATATATATATATATATATCATATATCATGTAGTAAAAAATTAACTTTACATTCGTATAAATAAATGATTATTATTTCCATAATTCCTAATGTATTGAAATAAATCTTTCTAAATTTAACGTCTTACTTGATTTAATAACAATTTTATATATACAAATTGTTCAATCTCAATTAAACGTTTCTCTCGCGAAGATAAATCCATACATTACAACTACAACTTTTACATACAGTTTATGTAAAAGTATTATAGGTGACTAAGGCCTGTGCCCGTTTTATTACGTAAAAAGACGTATACAATGGAAGTGCTCAAATTGATAAGACTATTCCTTATATGGAATATCAGTTCTAAAATTAAGTGCGCGCATGGTACTATTCATAAATTAAAAAGCCCAGATATCAATACAAATCTTACAAAAAATGCTCAAAAATTCTTTTAAACCATCTTATCGATTAAATTTCATATTGTAATTTATCGCTATGTTAAAAAGAGACAGATTTCATTGTAGACGTTGATGAAAATATGAATTAACATTTCTTCTTGAGTGTTAACGAAATGAAAAATATGATTTTTCTAATACCAAAGTCGCGCTATTGAAATTTTCTTTTTGATTTTCAAGAATTTTTACAATATTTTTTTCTATATCAATACAATATTTTTACTATATCAATCAACGCTTTTAATGATTTTATATCTTTATATTATAGAGACACTAGTTTAAAATAAATCAAATAATGAATCTAAGTAATTTATTGGTGAAAAAAATTGATGAAAAAATTGATGAAAAATTGATGAAAATGAATAAAATTATAAATTTTAATTTAAATAACTTAAGTTATTTAAAATGACCGTTATTTCTCATATATTCCATGTTGGATAAGTGCGCGTGCACATTTGTTTGGTTAAAATATAAATTTTTATTTAATATACACTGAATTTATAGTATTGCGAAATGACGTTGAATTAAGATTATAATTTATTTTTATAATTAATGTCTTTTAATTTTGAATTTTCAATTTTCAAATAATTATGAAGTGTATTTATTATCGTTTGATACTTCATTAAGTATAAAAATCTAGACATTTAAAATGATAATTGATCGAAAGCTGAGATTTCCGATACATACGTCACGTACAATATAAATGATTTATAAATTATATCTTCTTCTGTAAAGTAACAATCAGCTCGAATAAAACAATGATACAGATATTAATTTCGGGCAACAGTTTCAAAAGGATAATTAAATTTAAAGAGAAATCTATTTTTGGATCTACGATCGACGTACATAGGCAGATATCTCTGTATAATAAAGTCTTTTTGCATTGCGAACAAGATATATTTTAGTCATACCCTTATCGTTATCTTTATGATTACTATACACTTTGCAGATACAAATGCGTACATATACATATTCTCACGTTTATAGCTATAAAATAAAAGCGCTTAGAGGTATCGGAAAGAAACCGTATGTTTAAATTCTTTGTCGCTGATACGATCAGATATTTCTAATAAACGAATTTAATAATGAAAACAAAGGCAAGATGTGTCTTATTTTTTTATTTTTTCGAGCTAATTTAAAGATTTTTAATGATAAGAATATTAATAGCATATACTTATGTTTATTTAAAGTATAAAATTGACGATAGCCAAATTGACCAATTGTTTCAACATTATCATTGAATTTCGAAATCTATTCGATCTATTTCAGCTTGGAGTTAATTATACCTACGCAATATTAAGGCGATTACGTTGTTTTAAATAAATTTCAAATGTATGATATTACGTGATAGTGAGCGGAATAGGTGAAGCTCCTTTATTTTAAATGTAATGGAAATTACTATTAAAAATTGTATTTGTTTAAATGTCCTATTTAATATCGACTTATTAAATAAACTTATATCAATATATGTATAACGAAATCTTTGTAACATTATTGTAAATTGAGCTATTTTTATGGTTATTAATATGGCTATATAGAACGTACAGTAGGCTATGTCATAAAAATTCTTATATAACAAATGCCAATCTGAGAATGTTTAAATATTTATGATATATGTAAGTAAGCGATGATAGATTAATTGTTTTATTATTGTTCGCGTATTCCGCAATGTGCAATGTAACAAAATTAATGCACATATTAATAACGAATTTAATTAATTTTCATTTATCGTTATTTACAGTTGACTGGCGCAATGATAGTTTCAGTTGGCACAACCATTTATGCGGTGTACGAGGACTTTTCACACTTTTTGGATTCGAGTTATTTTTCACCGGCTACTCTTCTAATTGTAGTTGGAGCTTTTATCTTCATAATTGCGTTCTGCGGTTGCTGCGGTGCCCTTAAAGAAAGTACTTGCATGGTCTTGATGGTAAGCTTTCAATAATACGAAAGGAAAGCATTTGATAAAACCATCTGATTAATGATTTTTCTTTTAAGTTTGCAGTTTCCTTATCAGCGGTTTTAATATTGGAATTTTCTGCTGCGGTTGCTGCGTATGCTTTGCAAAACAATATTACAAATCTTCTTAATGATAAAATTAATAAGACCATGTACCAATACGAATCTAATTATGAAGCCAAAACTGCTATAGATTTCTTACAAGCCAAAGTAATATTTTGTTTATATCCTTTACAAAATTGATAATCAATGTTCCTCGTGCTCTTCGTTATTACTGTTATAAAATTCGTTAGACTCATTGATTTATCAAAGGCATACAAATACAAATTGATTTGATGAAGAGCACGCTTAAATTATAAAAAAAAAAACAAATAATATAATAAATATATTATAGTTGCATTGCTGTGGATATGACAGTGCAAACGATTGGGTCGGTATTCTAACGAATGCCACCAATACTATCAAAGTACCGCTCTCGTGTTGCAACTGGTACGATCCTATGGACAATGCATTACTGACAGACGTCTGTCCGTCAGTTTATCAACAAGGCTGTTACGAAGGCTTATCATTGGTTGTCAATTGCAGTGCACTTTATTTGATCACCGGTGCAATGATGATCGCTCTAATTCAGGTAATTTCTCGCACGGTATATCTATTAGTATTATACGAACATTGCTTAGAATGGAATGTTTTTTATCCGAAAAATTTAAATTTTATTGGTTCTTACGAATTCTCGAGTACTCTATAAAGTGCAAATAAAATAAGAAAACAATAACAAACAAACAAAAAATATATTTATATATATATATATATATATATATATAAAAAGTGCAATATAACACTTAACTTCTAATTAATTTATTAATAAATATTTTAATTTGAATAACTAGTAAATGTACGAGGCACTTAAATGATTAAACATATAATGTAATGTTAATAATATTGCATTGAGAATAATTCATTTGAAAATAGCTTTTCTCATAAGCTAAGTATAAAATTGAAATAGTAAAATCAAATAAAGTGTATGAGAATTAATGTGAAGATACAAAAATCTTATTTATCTTACAATTAAATATAAAATTATACAAATTTCGAATAGTGAATAATTATGATCCGAGGGATAAAAAATTATTATTCCTTTTATGTGTGTCATATTTGCTTATGATCTAGATAAGTAATTATTTACTTGCCAATCATGATGAGATAAGAATAAACAATGCCACGATACATCGTAATTTTAGAAAATAAAAATTTTCTATTAAAGTTCTTTTTCGATCGTGAAAGCACTAGATTCAAAAACGAGATTCAAATTAGATTTAAAAAGCAATTCCTCTTATCTCTAAATCACACTAAAGTTAATGTGATTACTTTCATCATAGAGGAGTAGATTACTACACAGAAATTAATTAATACGATACACGAAGTGCCATAGACGCAACCGCAAGCCTAATTACAAAAAATATAAATCAGAATAAATGTATAAAAGCAGTTAATAGAATTTTATTTATAATGCTATACACTGTAATATAACATCCATAGACACGGAACGTAAATAGGAAAAAGTCAGGATTATGTAATAATCAGAAATTGACTTGTGAAATATTATAATTGTCCGCATGGATTTTTGATTTTTCAAAGGAATCATTATAAAATTCTTCAAGATATTCCAAACGAATGATCATTTTTTTACAAGCCATTGAACAAGTATCAGAATTGCATAAATTAATTTAACTAAATCTGCGAATGTACAAATAGTTTTTTTTTCCTTTCTTTGGATTTTTTTAAATGAAATCTACATTACAGCAATAACGCAAATAGCAATAGTTCTTATGTAGCACCAATTAATCGTAGACAAAATAACATTGTTACTTGCTCAATTGACTCCTCTTAATAGAAACCAAAATTTAACATTAAAAAGTACTAGAATTCCTTATCTTTAATAGGGTGGTTAAAAATACTAATAATCAGAATACGTGAACAATAATAAAGTATTAAAACAAATGACAAATAATATAATAACATTCAGTCTAATAATATACCATAACATATGTTTTTTTCAAACATTTTAAGTTCCGAAAAATATTATATTAACTTTTTAACGTATATAATTGATGACTGGAACTGCCACATAATAATCATGAATAAATATTCACATTTTTCTTAAAATCCGCAACAAGAATAGTGAACTTGATCGATAATATCAAAAATCATTGTCACCGTAACACAAGTTTTGTTAGTCACGTTTCTAATGTTATCCGAAACAAATACATGGTGCACCGAAGTTGGGAACATAATTTACGCATTTCGTTAATAGGAAAAAAATTCTTCATCCATGGAATTAAATGTCTGAAAATAAAAATCAATTATCGAATAACTACCGACTGATCAGTCCCATCAACAATAGTATAATCAAATATAAAAAATATCAATGCATTGTAATAAAATGTTTTTTTAATATAATAAATCATTTCAAAATGTTTGCAGATGGCTGGAATAATGTTCGCATGCATGTTGGGTCGAGCAATAAGAAAACAAAAAACGGAAAAAGAAAGACGGCGATGGCAAATGCAGGAAAGCTTATTAAGTGGCTACGAACCTATTGGAAAAACTGATCCTTTCACAGCTTTTCCAATTGTCTATATGACAAGTAATAATAACTTAAAAAATACAATACCAAGTTAATCAATCATGAATAAATCACTAATTAATAACAAGTCTAAAAAATGATAAATATACAATTGTTAATATTTTTATAATTGAAAATTTTTATTTTCTCAAACATAAAACATAAAATTAAAATCCATTTCGAATATGCAAGCTCCCCTCGAATAGTCACAAGTGTCGGAAGGGTACCGAAGTAGCATTTTCCAAAACTTGCCAAAAATTGCGAAAAACAAGAGGTTTGCGTATGACGCAAAAGCTATATTTACGACAGACGGCAAGCCGATGGAGAAAATTCGCGAGCTTGCGAGCTTGCGACACTGCTTTTCCATTAAATTCAATCGCTGACGAACAAAGATTCACCAAAAGAGCATTGCTTTCCGAAGTACCGCCCAAGATTCTTCGTTGCAGTTGCCTTTATCATCCGGAAGATAAGGTGGTGTAAACTCTCGATATGCCAAACAAACACGGCGTGAGCTTATGTCCTCCCGTAAGACGGAGTGTTCCCATTCGTACCTACGAATGTAAAATTAGATGTTACAATAGTTCCTCGCGAACGCTTACAGCTGGTAAAAATAGGATAATAAAATTTGTAAATATAGGATAAGAAGGAAGTAAAGGATAGATGCATTTTAAAATGTTCTCCCAAGAAGTTAAGCTATTCGCGTTAAAACACTTAGCCACGCTCTTCAGCAGTACGAGCAACCGGTAATAATGCTCGTCATCATTGAAAATGGTTCTTTTATAATCTCTACTGTGGCAGCCACTCCTGCAGAAACTTTTTTGCGACGCATGTAATCCAAGCTGTCTAATAAATAAAACTTTAAATCAATATTTAAAGATCCTTCGGGCATCGGCAGTCGGACGACAAGGTCCTGCTCTGGTGCAGCCTCACTCTTAAGGCCGTCCACACAGTCCAGATTGTAACGACGTCTATCCCCATGGTACGGCTGCATGGTCAGAACGGAGTCACCCAGTACATTCACGGTGACTATGCGTTCTCCCCAGATCCAGCAGTCGTCGATGTGGGGATCTATGGAGGCTCCGCATCGGGGATCGTACTCCAGACTACATTGTTCCACAGTTCGAAAATCCTTGAGCTCGACAAAGTCGTGAAACCTGCGTTGCACGAACTCGGTACTCTTGGGAAATCCATGGAAGCTGCCCAGCCTCAAGCGCCTCCGTTTGAAGTTGGTCTTGGGACCGAAATTCTAGACGAAACAACACAAACCTCGGATTACTTTAAAAATCGACTATTTACCATCATCGTAGGCGTTTCTCAATCGAGGTGTTACCTACCTGCTTCCTTCTGCCGCTCTGCGACGCCTCCCACGGCAAAGAGTCCAAATCTCTAATCAGCGACTTCGATTCGTCTTGATTTAAAAAATTTAACTAAAATTAGTTTCACAGCGTTAATACGAGACTTGGCTGCGGCATTTGGCTAAACACAGCATCGGAACGACTCACTTTAATAAACGTGCCGGGGAACTCGATGGGCTCCCCGTAATGATCGGGATGCTGCTCGTACGAACGCATCTCCCAGCCAGGCCAGGCTTTATCGCAATCGGGACAATAAACATAGCTCAAGCCGATGGAGAAAATTCGCGAGCTTGCGAGCTTGCGACACTGCTTTTCCATTAAATTCAATCGCTGACGAACAAAGATTCACCAAAAGAGCATTGCTTTCCGAAGTACCGCCCAAGATTCTTCGTTGCATTGTTAATTCATGTGATCGCGAGATGCTCGCGAGCGTATGGCCGCCAACGGCCGACCTTGGAACGCGAACGGTTCCTAACCTTCAAATCAGCGACCGCGTCTCGCCTGGCAACCTGGCGCTCCTTTTCGCAAATCAAACAACTTCGAATTCCCTTGCAGGCGCAATGTCGCACCGACTCCATCGCCGACTCACCTTCCCAGATTCTTTCGACCCTCCCCGTTAATCGAATGGCCGGAATGGCCGATTTTTTCCCCAAGTCGAGCTAACTCGAGACAGCGATAACTGCTTTCCGCTATCTGCCATTTCAATAGGAAAAGTCTGGCGGTTTTTGTCGTAACGACGAGTTGCTTCGCTCTCACTGGGAAAAACTCGGTCGATAAAGCAAGAATTGCCGTTCGTCTGTTTGAAAATGACTCCACAACCCCCTCCTCCCCGTCGTCGCCCCGTGACAGTTCGTTCGATCCTCGCTATCAAATTCTTGCATATTGATCGGGACGTCGTCAAGACGATGTTACCCACGAGTTTATCCTCGCAGCTGCTCACCTTCCCCAGCACCGCGAGTAATCGAAGGTCCGAAATCATCAAAGTGACGACTAAATTATCTAAAGTATGCCATTACGCCTAGTTTAGTAACGAAATAAGGTGCCGCGAGGACATTATTAATTAAGTCAAATATCGATAGACCCCGACGACCGTCATCCCCTCCGCCCCCTCCCGCAATCACCCTGAACGACAATCGTCAACGGATAAACGCGCGGAGATTTACCGCCACGGCATTTCCTAACCTAATTCGTTTGCCGCCAAAATCTCCACTTCATTACTCAAACGCAAAATCAGGATATAAATTGTAGAATATTTTAGTTTCCGTTCGTAGATACATTCATCCCCTGAAATATCTGCATATCTTAATAAAATCATTGCAAGTTCTTTTAAGCAAACAGTTGGATTTTGCACCGAATAAGCTTGTCATTTCATCTGTATACTTAACGATCTCAGAATTAATATTTAATTATATAAAATATGTTCGTTTCATATCATGTTCAATCTAGTTTCAAAAATCTGTTTTAATCAGACGACATACATAATTAAAATACTAAAAATTTGCTAATACTATGTTTTATTAGATTCATCGAAAATTTAAAAAATTTTGTATTTAGTCATGCATCTATACTATTCCCATAGTACAAAACTATAAATGATAGAATAGCCGAAATTTCAGCCATAATCGTTTGAAAGAATTTTAATGAAATTTACATCTACACATTTTTAAACATTAAAGAAACCCCTATGTACAACTGCTTTAGTCGCTTTAGTCTTTTATAGACTTCGCAGCTGTGACGACCAGCTGCCATCGTTTATCCCCACCGTCAGTCCACGACATCACGTGACAACGCGACCAAAGTATATATAAAGCGCCAGAAAACGCGGCCCCATCACATTGTTCGCTTCGTTGCATCGATCGTCCTTTCGTTTCTTTGTTGCTTTGCAGAAGTTTTTTCTTTGTTGGAGAGAAATGGCTCGTACCAAGCAAACAGCCCGTAAGTCCACCGGAGGCAAGGCCCCGAGGAAGCAGTTGGCGACCAAGGCCGCGAGGAAAAGCGCCCCGGCCACCGGTGGAGTGAAGAAACCTCACCGCTACCGTCCGGGAACCGTCGCCCTCCGTGAAATCCGTCGCTACCAAAAGAGCACGGAGCTCCTCATCCGCAAACTGCCCTTCCAGCGTCTCGTCCGTGAGATCGCCCAGGACTTCAAGACCGACCTGCGTTTCCAGAGCTCGGCGGTGATGGCCCTCCAGGAGGCGAGCGAGGCCTACCTCGTCGGCCTCTTCGAGGACACGAACCTCTGCGCCATCCACGCCAAACGCGTAACCATCATGCCCAAGGACATCCAGCTGGCACGTCGTATCCGTGGCGAGCGCGCTTAAACGGTCCTGGCATCCATAAATTTTAATCCCCCATTGCCCCGCAAATTATTCTGAAACACCACAATTTGCCACCAACCCGATAATCGGCCCTTTTCAGGGCCAACACTTACTACAAACGTATGCATTGTCTATTTTATTATTATCGAAAACATCCTATTTTATCCTTACAGTCCCATTTTAATAAATAACTAATCTTAATAAAATATATTTTAAACTGATAAGTTAAAAATCTCTCTGATTTATTTTACCATATAATAATTTTCTTTTTTTTTTTTTTTAAATACTCATTTCGTTTATATTTTTTTCAAATCATTTGAATAACCGATACATAACTTGATTAAATATCAAGTGAAAATAACGTTTTTTTTTTTTTTTTTTTTTTAATAAAAAGTTTCACATTTAATTTTTTCGTTTTTTCTTAGTAAATTATTTACTAATTCTTAAATTAATAATGAACAATAAGTAAATTTTATTTTATATCTAATTCTACTTATTTATTATTATATTATCTTACAATATTACTATCTAAGTAACTTTGTTACTTCACTCTAATAATGTTAAGAAATCCACAATATGCACAAAAATTAGATTAAATTAAATAAAAATTTAAGTTAAATATTTATCTTAGATGTTTGAAAAATTCATGATTCGTCATAACTGTTAAACTAATTTGCAATTAAATATCTATTTTATTATTAAAAAGAATATTCATTTACGTCATAGTTAATTTCTAATTGTAAATTATCGCAATTCACTGTAATGTTTACCTACAATTTCATAGTAAAAATTATTTCAGAAAACTAATGAAATGATATTACATTACATTTTTATATCAACTTTTCTTTTCGGTTATGTAATGTGTAATGAACATTTTACCGTAGTAACTGACGAACCGAATATTAAATTAAAAAAAAAAAAAAAAGAAGAATAGTTCATATATTTTTGCATTATTTGCTTTTTATATATAATCGTAAAAAAATTATACGTTACTATTATTATATGTATTATCATACGATATAACACAGTGCATTGATTGTTGTACGTTTGTAATGTGAAAAATAAATGGAATATAATGCCTCGTTTGAAAGAAGTTGGTAGCCCTGAAAAGGGCTGTTATTAACAAGAGTTGCCGCCGCCAAAAAAGGGCTCGTAATAGTTGAATTAATTACTTTTTGGCAACTTTGGGTTTGGCGGTGCCGGCGACTTTGGGGGCCGCGGCTTTCTTGGGTTTTGGGGTTTTGGGCTTGGCGGCGGCCGGGGCCTTGCCGGTCTTTTTGGCCTTGGAAGGTGACTTGGGTTTGACGGCGACCTTGGGTTTCGGAGCCGCGACCTTCTTCGCAGCGACGTTAGTCGTCGCCGTCGTCGCCGTCGTCGTCGAAGCCGTCTGCTGCTGCTTTTTAACCGCGACGGACTTCTTAACCGCGACAGCCTTCTTCACCACGGGTTTCTTGGCCTTCGCGGCGGGCTTCTTCGCTACGGGCTTCTTCACCACCTTCTTCTCGCCCTCTGCGCCCTTGGCCGCGAGTTTAAACGAACCCGCTGCACCCGAGCCCTTCGTCTGCACGATCGTCTTCTTCGTCACGGCCAGCTTCAAGTACTTCTTAATGAAGGTCGACTGCTTCTCGACGTCGACCTTGTATGTCGCGGCGATGTACTTCTTGATTGCCTGGAGGGACGAGCCCCTCTTGTCCTTGAGGGCGGCGATGGCCGCGTTGACCATCTCCGAGACCGGAGGATGAGTCCGCGGCTTAGCCGGAGACTTCTTGGAGGACGACGCCTTCTTAGGGACGGACTTGACCGATGCTAACGGAGCCTCGACCGTCGCGGGTACCACTGCTGTTTCTGTCATTTTCGAAATAAACAGCGAATACAATCTCGATGAGAGAAGTGTAAAGTGTGTCGCGATACTCGCGCTCCGCGGCCTTTTACAGCTTGAGCGCGGACCTCGTAGAGAGGCCACCACTGTTAGCACTAACTTCTCTGCCCATTAGCACTCGAAGTCGTGCACCTTTTTTCCATTTCCCATTTTTTTCGAAACGCAACAAATATGGAGAAGTATTAATTTATCTGGACATATCATGATATGGATTGTGGGGTTCGATGGGAAATGCGAGGACTCCGCCCAGTCAGCGATGAACCTACGAAAATCGGTTCTTCCTTCCATAGTCCATTTCGTCGGGTTTATACATTAAAGTGCATAAACAACGATAATGGCAAATTATTGTTATGAATTACTTTGCAATACCGTATGTTAGAAAGTTAAAGTCATCGGTAATGGAAATATAAGAATTTGCTTGACATTAATAATCGTGAATATCTAGTAAACGCTTCTCAACTGAAGTCATTACACAAATTCTTGCTACGAAATATTCAATATGAATTGCAACGAGAAATATTGTGAAAAATTCATGCATACCAGGGACAAATAGAAATGTTTATAACGTTCAATTTGAAAATATAAATTTCAATATACCGATTAAATAAATATTGAATATCGTTGGTTTGAAATGTATTCCATCAAAGCCAATTAACTTTCTCACGCTAATACTAATTAAGTGCAACATCGATCAATTTTTCAGATACTAATATTGATAATTCCCATTATTCCTTGTAATAACTTTATTTTATTTTGCTGATTATTATATTTTTGAAAGCAATTTACTCTAAAGTCCTTTCGTCAAATTATATTGATAAATAATTCACAGGTTACGCGCTCGTTTCTTTGGAACATTAAACATGTATGTATACCATTCTATTACTATTGTTCAACAATTGTCGTATAAATAAATCGTTTGAACTACTCGAATAAATAAATTAATACGAATATATGAATAACAAAATATATATATATATATATATATATAAAGAGTTAATTTGATTGATCTATAGTGTATATTAGATCGTTGTAGAAATTTGTTATCCTTTTCATCTTATTCTATTGATTTCAGTTTGAATATTAATAAAAATTATTGGAATAAGTTAGATGAGCGTAAGTACTTTTTTTTTTTCATTTTTTTTCATTTTTTTATTTACATTCGCTATACAATTTTACTATTTTTTCGATATTTAATGTACTTAATCCCCTAATTAATCTGTTAATATATTTTGGTTTCAATCATGTCGAACCATTCTACTACTCGATTCAAATTACATTATCTTCATAATAATATAAAGGGCAAAATGCTTTTTAATTCAATTAAATTGACTCCGTAATTACTAGCGGCCACTTTAATCATGCAAAACAGCATTTATCAGGTGGGAAAATTAAAATTATTCCTATGATACATTCGCTTAGATATAAACGTAAAAACATAAAAGCTTTACTTAATTAAGAGTCTACGATAACTACAAAACGTAGTAGTTTAAGCAAATTTCAGACTAAAAGACTCGTTTTACCATTACCGGTCTCGATAAGAAACAAGACGCTTGATGCTACTTGTTTAGAAATACATAGGATATGTAGTTAAATAGGTAATATATTATAGTTGCAAAGGTGTAATAACTGTAATACCACCTCCACTCTCTTGTAAAAACATCATAAGAAAAGAAAAACTTATACATATTATATTCGTATATTATCTTTTTATATTACCAATTGGATCATTAAGAGAATGACCCTTAAACTGATTCTATTAGTTAATAATTTATAATTCAAAACAAAAAACAAAACAAAAAAAAACTAAAAGTAAATATTTAAGATAAAAGAATAAACAAATAACTAAGTAAAATTATAACAAAAAAAGGTTTTAAATTTCAACGGCAGTAAGAAATCGTACATTTAAGAGAATTAAATTTTCTATTCAAAATCTTAATTACAATAACATTTTCAAATAAATGGAAAAACATTTTAGCTAAGTTTATTGAGTATGTTGAATTATTATTATTTCAAAAATTCATACGTTAATGTTATATTTATATGTAAAATTTAATTCAAATCTTTCGACTTCACTCGGCTTACATTGAAATAATATCAACCTTAAATTTCAAATTATAAACTTTAACATTCTGGGAAAACTGAATTTCCGACAATATTTTCGGTGAATTTTAATAGCTGTTGAGTATACATTTGATCTTAATTATGTCAATAAATATATGAAATAGTTTGATTATAGAATTGATAAAAACGTAAAATTGTAATTAACCTTTATATCATTTGATAAAAATTTTTTATTAGATTTATTTTATTCATAAACATTATGATGGATGGAATGAAATTCCAAATTATTTGCTAGGATATAGAAATTTATTACGCAAATATTCTATTCGAACGTTAGAAAATAATTGTGGTCCTGAAAAGGACCGATTGTGGAAGTGAAAAAGAAAGAAACAAATTAAGCGCTTTTCTCAGTTTTCTTGGGTAATAGAACAGCCTGGATGTTGGGCAATACTCCACCCTGGGCGATGGTCACTCCCGAGAGTAATTTGTTGAGCTCCTCGTCATTGCGGATGGCCAGCTGGAGGTGACGGGGGATGATACGGGTTTTCTTGTTGTCCCGAGCGGCATTGCCAGCCAACTCGAGGACCTCAGCCGCAAGGTATTCCATGACGGCTGCGAGGTAGACCGGAGCACCGGCACCAACGCGCTCGGCGTAATTGCCCTTGCGGAGGAGACGGTGAATACGTCCTACGGGGAATTGGAGTCCGGCCCTGTTGGAACGGGTCTTTGACTTTCCCTTGACCTTACCACCACCTTTTCCACGTCCAGACATGATTACTGAATATTTGTAGGTAACGAACTTAGAAAGAATTTGAGAGAGAATGAAGTTTCGGTAGCATGTTCAAGGTATTTATAGAGGACGAGAAGTCCGTCTCCCCACCAATAGCAGACATAGCTACGAAGGTAGTGGGGTGTGGTAATTTTAAGAAGAAGGGGAAATCTTAGTACCCGCCCATTGGTTGTGCAGTTCCATTGAATCTAAGCTCTGTAACTCTTAAAAAGTACTGTTCCGTTATTGGTGCGGCTTCGGTATTAGGACAAACAGGATATTAATATAATTTTAAAGTTGTAATATTTATATTTTTTGCCCTAATAAATTCAGATATGACTAATAAATAAATAAGAGAAAATAATTGTAATTCCACTTTGGCAATACAATGAAATTGTATTAATGTCATTTGTACACTAGTCACTTAATATATATTGTATTTAAAAAGTTATTTTATGAATTAATTTCCCTTATTTGTTGCTGCCCTCTGAATGTGTGTATTTTTTATGTAATTATTGTAATTATTCCGTTCTAATAGGAAATTACATGATTTTATAAGACACTCAATTTCATATAGACCGTTTGTTTATTCTGCAGTCAGCGATTCACAGACGAATCAAAGGGACTAACCCTATATATTCTCCCTATTAGAATAAATTTGTTAATTAATGGTTATATTAAAGTCCAACAAAAAATCAATAACAATAGCTCGTAACAATTCTTAAAAGAATTAATTTTGTTTAGCCTAAAATTTTAAAAGTTATTTCTAAATAATTTAAGGTAAATTATAGATATAAGTTTTACAATTAATGGATTCAAATGAAGTATAATTCAATGAAAAAAAAACACTTATGACTTTAATATAATACATTTCATATTACTTTAAGCACTGGTTAAAAAATGTGTAATTAATTGATAATTAATACAAAATAATATTATTTGACATAATGTCCAAATTATATTCTTAAATGATAGTCTATATTGAAGAATATGAATATTCATTACAAAAAAAAAACTTGATTCTATTATTTTTTGTTCTTTTAATAAATTACGATAGTTTATGAACAAAAACTTTTCTTTGTTAAAAAAAAAGTAAGAATGAGGACTAGAAAATATGTATCTACTCATAAAACTTTAGACAAACCATGTAAGAATTTAAACCAAACATGTCTGTACACTTTTCTACAAAAACTATATATAGCCTTAATTATATAATGTTTATAATGTTATTACACGAAGTACAATTGTATATGTATATATATATATATATATTTTTTTTTTAAATAGGATTCGATTGACGAAACATTATGAGTGTAAAATAAAATATAATTATTAAAAATAAGTATTCGCATAATATTTAAATGAATTACTATGTATAGCATAATTAAAAAATAATAGATAATGTTAAATATATTTTCTAATTCGATTATAATATTTGCATATTACAACATTGAAATAGAATTACTTGATTAATTAATATTACTGAAGAATATAGTAGAGGTTAAGGTAACATTTAATAGTGAATGTATAGTAACTTTCCAAATTGATTTAATATTAACCATTTATATATATATATATATTATTTAATAAGACTTATTTTACCTAATAAAATAAATTATTCCATTAAATTGTGGCATAAATGTTGATTAAAACAAGTACTTGGCTTACTTAAATGAATTGATATAGGTTAAATTCATATACATAATATGAATAAAAATATGAAAAGTCAATAATTCACAATTATATAAAAGATTTTATAATAAGAATTTTATTATATAAATCATTATATTTTCAACAAATCAAATCGTTATTCGATACCCATAAATTTCGTAAAAGTATTATTATGTTTTAGGTTATTTGTATATAAAAATTTCTAATACATTTTTCCAAGCAAATCGATAAATAATTACTGGTATTAAATTTTATTTGTCACACTTTTAAACGAAAATTATATATATATTTTTTTTATATATAATTGACTACTATCATAATTCGTACTTCGGTAATTTTTTTAAATAAATTGAAAAACTGTATATTGGAATATATATATATATATATATATATTTCAATGCATATATTAATTTAGAAATATAATGCAGTCGTATTATGTTATGAAAATTAATAAAAATAAAATTCTGAATACTTTACAACAAATGATAATTTTGTATTCGTACAAATAAATACATTATTTTTATAGAAATTACTAAACTGATAATTTCACAATCAAAAGGATTCTTAAAATAATACAAAAAAATATATTCAATTATTTGCAAGTAATGACATATCCATTTAATCATAGGCTTATTACTTATTTTCTGATTAGTTCATTTAATTATGGAGGGGATGAAAAGACTGAGTTCACAGTGTCGGAGTGGGGATAGTTGCTTGAACACCTATAAAAGGCGCTCGCATCGCCAAATCAGCTAGAATTAACCGACGTTTTTCATTGCGTTCTGACGTTACCGCTTGAATATCCAACATGACCGGACGTGGAAAGGGAGGAAAGGGATTGGGAAAGGGAGGAGCTAAACGGCATCGCAAGGTATTGCGAGACAACATCCAGGGTATCACGAAGCCCGCCATTCGCCGTCTCGCTCGACGTGGAGGAGTGAAACGTATCTCCGGTCTCATCTACGAGGAGACGCGTGGTGTGCTCAAGGTCTTCCTTGAGAACGTCATTCGTGACGCCGTCACCTACACCGAACACGCCAAGAGGAAAACGGTCACTGCCATGGACGTCGTCTACGCCCTCAAGAGACAAGGACGCACACTCTATGGTTTTGGCGGTTAAACCCATTACATCCTCCGAACCTTCTCGAAAGACACAATCGGCCCTTTTCAGGGCCACTACAATTATTTTACGTATTACCTGCTTTTCGATTGACTTAGCTTCGTTATTACATATATTCCATGTCTTTTATGACAAAGTAAAGTAATAATACCCAATGTACATGTTACTGAATCCTTGAATTTTATAAATTTAGTCTTTAAATAAAGAAAGAATGGCAGCGTTGGAGGGGAAGGAATGAATGAATGTATGCTCCAATGAAAACCCATATATTCCGAAATTGGAGAAAACTACGTAAATGAGGTTGCGCGTATTCGCAAGTGAATGAGGTTTGTGGAATTCAATTAGACAGCATTCGATATTTTCGTATCGAGTGCGAAATGATTTTCGTGGCTCATTGCAAAAAGTCTTGCGAGTATTGTGATTTTACGTTTGAGTAATGAAGTGGAGATTTTGGCGGCAAACGAATTAGGTTAGGAAATGCCGTGGCGGTAAATCTCCGCGCGTTTATCCGTTGACGATTGTCGTTCAGGGTGATTGCGGGAGGGGGCGGAGGGGATGACGGTCGTCGGGGTCTATCGATATTTGACTTAATTAATAATGTCCTCGCGGCACCTTATTTCGTTACTAAACTAGGCGTAATGGCATACTTTAGATAATTTAGTCGTCACTTTGATGATTTCGGACCTTCGATTACTCGCGGTGCTGGGGAAGGTGAGCAGCTGCGAGGATAAACTCGTGGGTAACATCGTCTTGACGACGTCCCGATCAATATGCAAGAATTTGATAGCGAGGATCGAACGAACTGTCACGGGGCGACGACGGGGAGGAGGGGGTTGTGGAGTCATTTTCAAACAGACGAACGGCAATTCTTGCTTTATCGACCGAGTTTTTCCCAGTGAGAGCGAAGCAACTCGTCGTTACGACAAAAACCGCCAGACTTTTCCTATTGAAATGGCAGATAGCGGAAAGCAGTTATCGCTGTCTCGAGTTAGCTCGACTTGGGGAAAAAATCGGCCATTCCGGCCATTCGATTAACGGGGAGGGTCGAAAGAATCTGGGAAGGTGAGTCGGCGATGGAGTCGGTGCGACATTGCGCCTGCAAGGGAATTCGAAGTTGTTTGATTTGCGAAAAGGAGCGCCAGGTTGCCAGGCGAGACGCGGTCGCTGATTTGAAGGTTAGGAACCGTTCGCGTTCCAAGGTCGGCCGTTGGCGGCCATACGCTCGCGAGCATCTCGCGATCACATGAATTAACAATGCAACGAAGAATCTTGGGCGGTACTTCGGAAAGCAATGCTCTTTTGGTGAATCTTTGTTCGTCAGCGATTGAATTTAATGGAAAAGCAGTGTCGCAAGCTCGCAAGCTCGCGAATTTTCTCCATCGGCTTGCCGTCTGTCGTAAATATAGCTTTTGCGTCATACGCAAACCTCTTGTTTTTCGCAATTTTTGGCAAGTTTTGGAAAATGCTACTTCGGTACCCTTCCGACACTTATGACTATTCGAGGGGAGCTTGCATATTCGAAATGGATTTTAATTTTATGTTTTATGTTTGAGAAAATAAAAATTTTCAATTATAAAAATATTAACAATTGTATATTTATCATTTTTTAGACTTGTTATTAATTAGTGATTTATTCATGATTGATTAACTTGGGATGCAATACTTATTATATTCTAATATTGTTGTGTTTATAAAGTTCTAATGAAAACATTCCCTTTTACATTTGTCGATGATCCTTCTTCCCTTTAACCATTTATTTAAATTTGTATAATAAAGTAAATAAATTTTTTCTAGCATAGTATATAATTATATTTTTATTATTGGATCATAGTACTTTTTTTTATTTGCATTTCTGATTAGCTAGTGATTGGAGTACCTACTGATCATGGGTGGAGTATTTAATGATAAAATTATCATGCAAACTTTATTCTGATTAATGTTTATGATCTTCCATATTAATATTGATTGGCGATCATTATGATCATTATATCCTTGATAATTGCGTATACTTTGAATGAGGATTGGACTGATTTATTCGATTGAAGAACAATTTGATCATTCTTTAAATTACACGGATTTGGTGTTATGACTTATTAGTTATTTAATGAGAAATAATTTCGTATCTGTAGTTTACCTAATGTTTTTAAAAAGAATTGATCGATCCTGATGCAATTGTACTTCATAGCAATAATTTCGTTGGTATAAGTACATTATTGTATTTAATAATTATAAAATCTTTTGAACTCCGTTACGTACGTATAGTGAAACATATTATGTTTTAAATATTGGATTTTGATTTACAATATTTTCTTTATATTATGAGCGTAAAATAGCATGTAGCAGTAATATTTTAAAAATTAAATATTTGAGTTTTAGAATATAAAAATAATTAAAAAGAAAATCTATCCCAAAACGTTATTTAAGAAATGGTGGCCCTGAAAAGGGCCGATATGTATAAAAGTATGTGGTGGTTTTGTTTAAGTAGCGATTTACGCCTTTTTTTCGGTCTTCTTGGGCAAGAGAACGGCCTGGATGTTGGGCAGTACTCCACCCTGGGCGATGGTCACTCCCGAGAGTAATTTGTTGAGCTCCTCGTCATTACGGATGGCCAGCTGGAGGTGACGGGGGATGATACGGGTTTTCTTGTTGTCCCGAGCGGCATTGCCAGCCAACTCGAGGACCTCAGCCGCAAGGTATTCCATGACGGCTGCGAGGTAGACCGGAGCACCGGCACCAACGCGCTCGGCGTAATTGCCCTTGCGGAGGAGACGGTGAATACGTCCTACGGGGAATTGGAGTCCGGCTCTGTTGGAACGGGTCTTTGACTTTCCCTTGACCTTACCACCACCTTTGCCGCGTCCGGACATTACGAGTTGCTAGATTTTAGTTTAACGGAGGTATTAATAGAGACGAGCGGATGTCGTCAACGGGAGTCGATCATAGACTAATGTAAAGCGCTAAGGGGCTGCTTGGGGCTTTTATAGGTCGCCATGAGGCGGCTGGTCGGGACATTGGGGGACAAAGCCTCGGTGGCCGAGTGGTGGGGACAGGCGCGACGGTGATTGGTGCGGCCGTGACGGTGGCCAGCAGTTATAAGGGAGGGAGAATCGGTGGTTCGAGCATTCGATAGTCCTCTTTCGAACTTTCACTATGGCACCCAAAGCGAGCGGCAAAGCAGTGAAGAAGTCGGGCAAGGCCCAGAAGAACATCACCAAGGGCGACAAGAAGAACAGAAAGAAGCGCAGGAAGGAGAGCTACGCAATCTACATCTACAAGGTGCTGAAGCAGGTACACCCGGACACTGGTGTGTCGAGCAAAGCCATGAGCATTATGAACAGCTTCGTGAACGACATCTTCGAGCGCACCGCCGCCGAGGCTTCGCGTCTCGCTCATTACAACAAACGCTCGACCATCACGTCCCGGGAAATCCAGACGGCCGTGAGGCTGCTGCTTCCCGGTGAGCTGGCCAAGCACGCCGTCAGCGAGGGCACCAAAGCTGTCACCAAGTACACCAGTTCAAAGTAAATGCCCGTGGTTTTTTGTTTGCAGTCCCGCAGCACCGGACAGCAAAAATAAATATAAACACCATAACATCATCGGCCCTTTTCAGGGCCACGACATACCTTATTAACGTATTTCCATTCTATTGATACCGAATGTATTTGAATGTATTAATTGAAAATCAATTAATCCAATGTATAACAATGAATTAGTTAAATAAATGTTTTATATTTAAATTTGGCTGATTCTATTGTAGTATGTATGGTAAATATTATATAAATTATATAAATATATATATTCTATTCTATTATGTTGGTCAAAAAGTTTATAATAACGAGGATATTAATTATTTAACTAAATACGTTATAACTTGTAAGTCTTGTAATCATAAAAATGGGCTTATTAGGAGAATATATGAATTTTTCTTAATGTGTGGGTGGGTGTTGATAAATAATCACTGATGTAAATCATTGATTTAAGTAAATTTAATCAATTTGTTTTTCTTTAAAGAAAATTATATTTTCGTGTGTACGTTTCAGGTAGGCATGAACATTTTTTTAAATTTAACTATCAACATGCATTGCGCCTAGATATAAACGGGTAGATAAAGCAGTTGAAAGGTAGTAATTCTGTAGTGATTATTCTGAACATTTCTGGAATATTAGGTATATTTAAATTTCAACTCGAATAAATTCTTAATTCATAGGCGATTAAAGGTCGATAAAATTATTTTTAGGAAATAAGTAAATTAGGGGTTGAGCCAAGTCTGAAGGATCCGAGACGGTTGTCATGTCCTTCGTATTGAACGGGCGAATATCTTCCTCGCGCGTATAAAACGTCACGTAGGTTTGAGCAGATAATAAAGGATAATAAAGGTAAGGACCTTCCAAGGATCCATCTTGATATATTTTGAATACCGGATTGAACGGTCGCATCTGCACTTTTGCGATTACTCAAAGTTCAAATTCACATTTAATAAAAGATAATTATATTATATAGGACATGAGAATCTAAGGATTTTTCTTTCATTGCTTTTCCCATTGATAAAAGTGCCTCAGGTAATTATAGGTCAGTCCGTGTTTGCGTGTATTGTAATTATTGTGCATTTGTAATTTTTCAAAGGAGGGGAAATTAATGTTATCTTGGGCTTATTGTGTTAATTTTCTATCTAAAATGGTAAGGATAAATGTGGCTTCTGCTTGAAAATTTGATGTCTAGCGACTAATCGCTCGTTACTCGGTATTAAAAATTTTTAAGCATTTGAGTAAGTATTCTCACATAATAATAATAATAATAATAATAATAATAATAATAATAATAATAATAATAATAATAATAATAATAATAATAATAATAATAATAATAAATTGCCGTATGAACGCAATTGGAGCAATTATATTATTCCCGTAATTTTAAAATTATCGGTTTACGGTAATTGTTTTAGGGAATATTCTATGGAAGTATCGATTAGCAAAAGTGCAGAATATATTTCGTCTGAGAACGTCGACAAATATGAATTCTTTGCTCAAAGATTAGGGACGAATTGTAATCGCAATTTAAATCATGCATATATAAGATTAGATTACAATAATTATGAAAGTATTTTTGTTCTTTGAATAAGTTTAAAATTTATGCAAGGATAAAAAATAAAAAAAACATATAATAATAACCGAACAGAGAAAATTGTAGAATATATATATATATATATATATATTAAAAAAAAAAAAAAAAAAAAAAAAAAAAAAAAAAAAAAAAAAAAAAAAAATTGAAATTTCATTGCAGTAAAATAATCTTCATAAGACGTTACTTTCAATTAAAATAATAGTAATGCCAGAGCATTGTGTTACTAAAGAGTAGCACACTTACGTGACAGTTGATAAATAAATGAAAATTAAAAAATTGATTAAACAATTATCTGGGCATTATCATGTTAAATTTTTATGTTGGCGTAGTTATGTGACCCGAGTAAAATTGTTGTAAAGAAGATCGAGCGTTTTGCTTCATAAACAGACCATTATGAGAAAATAATGTAGCTTCTTAAGAAATATACAATAAACAATCAGCAGTATAACGGTGAAAAAGAATTCTATTTCTGCACTTTGATATGGAATGGTCAAGAAAGCCAACGAAAATAATAAGAAAGAAAATCCGAAATGAAAGACAAGATTATAATGCATAAATTAGCAATACAGTGTGTCGACAGTGTGACTTTATCGTTTTATTACCATTGCTGTATAATTCACACTGTACGTGTACATTTTATAACGAGGAATTGAAAAAGCAGGAGAAAGTCTGGTAACTCGTATTTTAAAAATTAACATCAAGACTTAATACGCTTCTTTATTTATAATATTAAAAATAAAAAATTGTGTAGTCTGCATAAAGAATATGGTTATTCTTATTTAGACTTAAGGTAATGTAGTAAAATTATTGTTTAAAGGACGAGGATAAAAGAACAAGATAATATAATAATGATTATAGGAGCGTTTAAAAAAAGGAAAATTTTAGATTGTTTCTTATTAATTTCAATTTTTATTCGAATTTATGAAAATTCTGAAAAAGCGCTCTTTCAAAATCATTAAAAATCCATTCGCCATAATGCTAGAGGAAGAAAAAGAATCGTTATCAAAATAAAATTCCTATCTTTCACTTTTTTTAAGTCAAAAAACCCGCGCACTTATTAATCAACTAATGTGAAGATAGACCATTTTAGAAATTAGAATTAATATTTACGTATATTCGAGTGACAGTGGAAAATCATTGAAACTTAAACTGATCCTATAATATCTTTAAGTATTATCACAAATTTTCTCAAATATTTCTTGACTTATATTTTTAAGAAATATATCACACAACGGACTCTGGTAAACATATGATAATTAATAAAGACGTAAACATATCAAAATTTTATAAAATAGAGACATAGTAATCAAGAATATATTGAATGGTGATATGAGACTTTTGTATCACTCGGTTATTGCAAGTTGGCGTAAGAATAAATTTTAGTGTCCTCTATGCTGCAATGGATAAAGTTGTACGAGGCTTAAAAAGTTCTACAAAATCCTTAAATCAATGTTGTCGATTGGAGGAGAAAGTTGCCATTGTAACAGCCTCTTCTCAAGGGTAAATCAATCAAATTATTATCCATCGATTATAATCTACGAATGGGTAATACAGGTATTCATTGGTATTGTATTTATTATTAGCTGAGGGTTATTATTTTCAAATTAACGTTACATCATTGTGCTTAATGTGAACGTTGCTAGAGTCAAGTCGACTAGTTTGCTCAGGCTTTTAAACTACCGGCACATAGTACTGAAATTGTCTTTAAAGTATTAGAATTAATAATTTCACACGTTTTATATTTAGGATTGGTTTTGCCGTTGCTCAGCGCTTAGCTCAGGAAGGGGCGAAAGTGATAATATGTAGCAGGAAAGAAGCTAACGTCAACAGCGCAGTAGATAAACTTAAAACGAAGGGGTATGAGGTTTCTGGAATTACTTGTCACGTTGGAGTAGACGAAGACAGGAAAAAACTTCTAAACGAAGTATTAATACCTTTATATAAACATATAATATTTGTTGTACCGATAATCATATAATTTGTCGTAACAGTAATACTCTTAAATTAAATTCTTATAAAAATAATTTACTTTTTCATAGGCTATATCAAAATATGGTGGCCTGGATATTTTAGTATTAAACGCAGCTGTAAATCCATCGATAGGTCCAGTGTTAGAGTGCAGCGAAGCTGTTTGGGATAAAATATTTGAAATAAATGTGAAAAGCACATTCTTAATGATGAAGGAGTCCTTACCGCTACTTAAAAAAAGCAAATCACCATCCATTATTATTATGTCCTCGATTGCTGGCTATCAGCCGTTTGATGTAATTAATAAACTCTCAACGGGTAAATCAATTTGTATAGTAATAATCCATAATCTCTCTTTTATGCAGATGCTTGGAGTATACTCGATTTCAAAAACAACTTTACTTTCTCTTTGTAAAATAACTGCTCAGGAATTAGCGAGAGATGGAATTAGAGTAAATTGTATCGCACCTGGTGTCATAAAGACAAAATTTTCCAATTTCGTACATATTTTTCAATAATCTTTTCTTACTATTATTACACTTTATATTTCTATATTTGAATGAAATGAAATTTTTAGTTGCACAATTCAGAAGCAGCGAGTGAAATGATAATCGCTACAATTCCAATGCAAAGATTTGGAATTCCCGAGGAAATTGGATCAGTCGCAGCATTCTTAGCAAGTAGCGATGCCTCCTACATTACGGGAGAAACTATCGTAGCTGGTGGAGGAATAAAATCAAGACTTTAAAAATGAAGTGATTTAATTTTAACGATAAAAAGATTTAATAATTTAAAAAAGTTTTATAAAAAATTATAATAATATCTCATATAAATATATTATTTTATATTAAATAATAAGCCATAATAAATTATTAGGTAAGTTCTCCGCAAGATGTGATAACAACTTTTTGCGTAGGAGTTCCTCCCTTTGTTCCATATTTTTCCATTTTTTTTAAGACATCCAAACCGCTTAGAACGTGTCCAAATACAACATGTTTTCCATCGAGCCAATCTGTCCGTGCCGTACAAAGGAAAAATTGGGAACCATTTGTATTTGTACCAGAATTTGCCATTGACAATGTCCCTGGACCCGTGTGTTTGAGTTCAAAATTTTCATCTTCAAACTTGTTTCCGTATATTGATTTACCGCCGGTTCCATTGTGGTTTGTAAAGTCTCCTCCTTGACACATCTATTTACTTAATAAGGAAATTAATACTAATAAAATTTAGTGCTAGCTTGACTACTGGTTAACTTTAGTATTTTTCATTTATCCCTCTTGAAAATGTTTTATTATATGTTTTATTAAAAATTTGATGCAAGAATTTCAAATTAAATTTTGTCCGAAATGCAATTTTCAAAAATATATAAACAAATATGTATATATATATATATATATGTGTGTGTAAAGGGCAGATGTTTAACAGCACAATTTGTTTAGAATAAGAATTTTCAATAATTAATTGGTAGAATTTTTGTAAGTAGTATAAGTTCAATGAAACTTATAAGAATGACGAGTAAAGGATAATGAAGTATATACTGATAATGAAGTAAAGGATACAAATTCTGGAATGATTCTGTGAAATGTACTACCTTGGTAGCCATAACCTTTTTCATGAGTGCATAAACTACGAAAGTTTTCTGCAGTTTTTGGAACAATGTCCGATCTCAACATCATAATTATTCTTCCTAGTTCTTGTTTACCCACGCCTATATCAAAATATACTTGAGGATTTTGCTTTGTTTTTTTAATTGAAATATCGTCGTCTTGTTTGCTTGTTTCATCGTTTGTGTTTAAGGTTTCGCCAGCGTGCTCCTGTAACCAAGAATCATCCGCCCAAACGGGTTTGGAAGAACCCTCTTTAATTTTCTGTGGCTTAGCTATATTCACTCTAATTGTCCGACCGAATAATTCAGAATCATTCTACACAGCAAACAAATAAATAAATACATGAAACTTTATCGTCGATGAGATTAACACGCGTGTACAATAACATATGACATGCAAATTTACCATATTATCTATAGCGGAAGCAGCATCTTCGGCAGTTTCAAATTCTATAAAAGCAAATCCTCTGTGTTTTTCCGATTCATAATCCAATGGTATTTGAACATCAACGATTTCACCAAATGGGATAAAAGCTGCATTTAATATTTTTTCGTCTACTTCTTCAGCTAATCCACCTACGAATTTTCATAATTATTTATTCCACAATGCCTTATCTCAATTAAATTGTAATTTACAATATGTAATATTTATTTTAAAAGTAAATAAATATTGCTACAATAACTTTGGTATAAGTTTCATACTCTTTCTTCTTACGTTACAAAGTCTCATTTTAAATGACAAAAATTATATAAATATAATTTTAATTTTAATTTTGTTGATACACTAAAAATATATATTATGTGTTGGCATGGTTTATTCATCCCCTCATTTATATCATTATTTATATCAATTACTTATATACGCTGTGAGACATTTTCAAAAAATACATACAAACCTACGTAAATTGTTCTCTTTGCGTTCCCACTCATATTGTTTTTAAATTAATATTTAATGATATTTAATTACAGTTTATATTGTCGACATCGGCGCAGCTAATAGTATCGTGGAAATGTTTAATGAAGTATTAGGTTATGTGTCCGCTGTGTATAGTTATACATGTCACGTCAATATCAATCTTATTGTCGTTCGTGTAAATAATTGATAAAAAAAAAAAAAAAAAAAAAAAAAAAAAAAAAAAGGACAAAGTTGCCTACAATTTATTGAGCAAAAAAAAATTTAAGTCTACGTTAATTGATAAAAGTCGTCATATAGATTAGATAATGGTATAACCGTGTTTAATCGAGGAAAGACAATTGAATTGGGAGGATCAGAATTTTACCTACGATTCAACGTTGAAAGGAGAAAATATTTTATTCAAGGTAATATTATCACATTGATATGACATTGATATGACATTGATAATTGACATTGGCTGCGTGTAATGCCCATTCGGTCTTTACAGAACAGTTATTTGTATTTTTTATTTCCACATAATTTGATTGTATCAGTGTGGTGTGCAATAACAATATAAAACATTTATTTTATCAAATAAGTATATGAATTTTATACAAAAATACGTGAAAAATTGAAATTATTGTAGTAAAACAAAGTTATGACAGGACAATAATCAATAATTTAAACTTAATAATTTATTAATAATTGATTAATAAATCCAATATAAATGGCTATAGTAGAATATCTCGGTAAATGTCTGAATATAAATAAATAATATGTAATTTGTATTAAGCTATTTGCTACTTATTAAACCTCTATATATATATATATATATATATATATATGTGTGTATATATATATATATATATATATATATATACATGGTTATTAATTTTAATTATATTATAAAAATATCAACTTGAAATAGATAAACAGTGTCATTATAATTTCATAACTTTTTGAATAATTTTAATTACCTGTTTTTAAGTTATATAATTATTTTATGGATTTTGTATAATATCCATTAATTGAATTGATATTTTTGAAATACATGAAATATTAATGTTTATAAACTATTGAAATAAATAAATTAATAATTTCAGATTATTAGATATTTTCATAAAAATAATTTAATTGCTAAGCAAAGGATTATTATAATATTTTTATTTATTATTATTTAATTAAAAATCTTATGCCAGTCTTCTGGCCATTTAATGTTATTAATAGTGAACTTGTGCGCACACGCGCAAACAAACACAAAAACAAATAAACAAAGGCACAACACTACAGCATTGTTTCATCTAATAATATAATTATGTATATAATCTTCTTTACTTTATTTTTATGTATTGTATTTATTTACATTAAAGCATCGCGCTTATTATTAGTTTGTAAATTGCGATTTGATAATATTGAACAAAAAAATATACGGCGAAACGATATTTTATAAATAACGAATTGATTGTTATTATTAATAAAAGTAAAAATATTATTTCTGTTCAGTGCATTATAGCGAAGCGATTGCATTCCAATAACAAAATGCTCGCCCGACTCATACCGATTCACGGAGCTTTTCCAAAATCTTCATTTTACTCATCCTGCCGATTAATGGCCAATAGACAAAATTTAGGATTAATCGATGGTCAATGGGTGAGCGCTCAAAGTGGCAAAACATTTCCAGTCTTAAATCCAGTTGATAGTTCGCCTATCGAACGCGTCCCGGACATGGATGCGACAGACACTCGCCTAGCGATCGATGCCGCCGCCAAATCATTCAAAACCTTTCGCAAAACATTAGCTAAAGAACGGAGCGAGTTGCTTAGATCGTGGTACAATTTAATGGTGAAGCACGCCGAGGATTTAGCCAAAATTTTGACCCAAGAAAATGGCAAATCGCTAAATGAATCTCGAGCCGAAGTGAAATACGGCAATTCGTTTATCGAGTGGTTTGCGGAAGAAGCCAGGCGAATTAACGGCGAAATTCTCCAGGCGCCATTTAAAAATAGAGAATTATTTTTATTGAGACAACCCGTTGGCGTTGCTGGCTTTATAACTCCGTGGAACTTTCCACATGCTATGATAACGAGGAAAGCCGGGGCCGCCTTAGTAGCTGGTTGCACGTGCGTTGTTAAGCCCTCCGAGGACACGCCACTGACCGCTTTAGCGATTGCTCAGCTGGCGGAGGAGGCAGGTTTTCCAGCCGGAGCCATTAACGTCGTGACGACAAGTTTGGAGAATTCAATCGGCGTTGGCCAAGAATTGTGTACCAATCCAAAAGTTCGTGTCCTATCTTTTACAGGCTCGACCGCGGTGGGAAAAATTTTATATAAGCAGTGCGCTCCAAGCATGAAGCGCTTGAACCTTGAATTAGGTGGCAATGCACCTTACATTGTCTTCGAATCGGCGAATGTTGATTTGGCCGTTAATGGAGCAATGTCAAGTAAATTTAGAAATACGGGGCAAACTTGTGTTTCGGCCAACAGATTCTTCGTGCATTCCAAACTCTACGACGAATTCGTATCCAAGTTCATTACTAAAATAGCAAGTGATATACGACTGGGAGACGGAAGTAAGGAGGAGAATACGCATGGGCCTTTGATCAAAGAGAGTCAGTTGAAAATAATTAACAGTCTTGTTGATGATGCAAGAGAGAAAGGGGCCACTATTCATTGTGGTGGTAAGCATTTACCCGATATTGGACCACTATTTTATGCACCTACTGTGATAACCGACGTTACCAAAGAGATGGAAATATATGCGAGAGAAATTTTTGGACCCGTTGCTGTGATACATAAATTTCACGACGAAGAGGAAGTCTTACAGAAAGCAAATGACACGCCAGTTGGATTGGCTGGTTATTTTTATTCAAACGACATTTCACAAATCTTTAGGGTGGCAAGGGATTTAGAAGTAGGGATGATTGGTATTAATGAAGGATTGATTTCTTGTACGGAAGCCGCTTTTGGTGGAGTTAAGGAATCTGGAATTGGAAGAGAAGGTTCTAGTCATGGAATCGATGAATATGTTGACATCAAATATGTTTGTATCGGAAATATTCAACATTAAACGAAGTAATAGCGATTCCGCCATTGCGGGGAGTGCATGATTTATAAAATTTTATTACTAAGTATTTTTGCTTGTTCCTTTTGTTTTTCTTTTCTTTTTTTTCTTCTTCTTTTTTTTTTAATTTTATTTATATTTCGCAAAATTATGAATATTTTACTATACATTCAAATATGTAATTAACGTCCGTTGCACATTGCAACAGTTTCTAAATTATTTTATAATATTGCTAAAGATTATAGTTTTTAATAATATATTATTTCCTTCAACATTTTCTATTCTTAAGTTATTAAAATTTACACAAAGTATTTTTTTATATAAAAGAATTAATTTTTAACATTTCCATATTATTACTGTACAAGGATCAACAGTATATCTCAATTTTTATTTTAAATTAAAAAATAAGAGTGTAAATTCTATGCCATAAGCATATTACTAATAAAAACATTTTAACGTAATACACACACACGCACACACACACACACGCACGCACGCACGCACGCACGCACGCACACGCACACACACACATATATGTATATCCATATATATTATAATAGGCATGCTCAATTTTTTAATAACTTTTTTGAAAGTCATTTAAAAAATTATAAATAATCTAATATTTGTTTTTTTAGATTTTCTTCTGTAAAATGTATGTTAATATAATGATTGTCCATGTTGAAATGATTTCACGATCTACAAGACAATAATCGTCTAATGAAGTTATCCTATTTGTTTAGTTGTTAAAACTAATATTTCAAATTTTTAAATCTAATGTTAGTACTATTATAGTATATAATATTACACATGCAAAAAATAATTGTATTATGAGTTTGTTATTACATTAATTATTACTGTAAAACTGAGCAGTAAGCGCTAATCTTTTATTTAATCAGTGAATACAATTATTTTGATGGTTGATATATATTTTAAGGAATGTGAAATTTTACAGAAATATATTTCAGTTTACAAATTTTAGGGAATAATTTAAGAAATGATTTTTTATTTACACACGTCCGCGTACGCATTCACGCAACAACAGAGAGGAGAGAGAGAGAGAGAGAGAGGGAGAGAGAGAGAGAAAGTCACGCGCAGAGGCAGGCAGATATATATATATATATTTATACAAATAAAAAAATCATTTCTGAAATTTATAATTCTGTAAATTATACTTTATTTTTATATTATTCATAGACAATAAATAATAAACTTCATTTATTATAATTAATGATATCATCATTTATAGAATATAATGGATGAAAAATATTTTTATAAAAGGTAACGAGTTTTAGAAATAATAAAATATTTTTTAAAATATTTAAAATTATTCTATCAAAAAGTATATTTCACATTCCTCTAGATAAAGAATTTCGAATCGCAATTTATTTTATAATAAATGATTAAATTTATACATGAATACCATATCGTTCGATTCTTAGTCTTCCATGTACAGTCTTCCGACATAAAAGAATAACAGATTCGAGTTTAAGTAAAAGGTTCTTTTACAATTCAAAAAGTTGTAGTACAAATAAGAATATTATATTCATAAGGTGTATTAGTAAATACATTACAGCAATAAATGTTTATTATACACTTCTTCTTGAATATGGTGTAGTAATAATAGTGTCAACAGTCTTTTAAAAAATGTTTTTCTATGTACCTTTCCCTTGCTTCAGAAATCATTTTTGCTTTCTTTTCCTTAAACGTTAATCCCACGGTACTGTTGTTGCTATTTAGTTTCATCGTAGACGCATAGCGTTTGTTCGTTGAACTGCTTGGAGCTATTGTGGTTGATACTGTTTCGGGTGTATAAGTAACAATGCCATCAAGAATATTAGTGATTGTCACATCAACGTTCCTAGTTTTTACTACAAACAAATAACAATATTGTTATCCATTAATTTTATTATTTGCTTGTCCAATGGGCTTTTATGATAAAACATTTCTTTACACGATTTACTAATGTACCATTATACTAATATGAAAAATAATTTACTTTTTAAAATCAAAATTTTATATTAAACATTAAAATATTTCAATAATAATTTTTAAACAATCCATAATTGCAAATAATGAAAATGAAAAGTAATTATTGGTAAAAATTATTTACAATACTTACAAAGGTCTTTAAGTATTACATTGTGCGGAACCAATGGCAGCACTTCACTAACTTGGCGGACCATTCTTAGTATTTCCATGCTCGGGACAATCTGCGAATCTGAGATAATAGAATTCTGTTGATTTTGATTGCGAACTTCTTCCATTATATGTCGCTTTATGTACTCAGCTTTGTCAGAAATCGTATGCAAACTTGTTTCAATTTTTAAATTCTGAGCAATATCTTTCTCGACTTCCCTTACAAGAACATGGGCATCCGTATTCCTTTTGACTTTAAGAAACTTTACAGTGAAAATAGTATAAGGAACAAACATGAAGCATATTATATCCATCCACCAAATCGAAGCGATAGATGTGAGCTGTATGTCAACGAATTCTGGTCTCCAGGCTTGAAGAACGACAGGTTGAACGGCTGGTTCGATGCAAAATGGCCACGTATTAAACTTTAACAATGCCTTGCGACTATTTGTTGTATCTAACTCTGGTTGTAGAGCGATGCTAGTTTTAGAATTGGAGATGAACCGTTTTATTTCCGCAACCAAAACGTCCTTATTATTCATGTTCATTTTCTGAATTCCAAGAGCATTACTTAGCGAATCTGGTAAATTTAAAAGACTCGGTGTCATTGTTTTTGCTGCAGTCGAAAGAACAAAATAATCCAATATAGAGATACTATTGGCAATAACAACATGTATTTGTTCATCCTTTTGTTCTCCATCGGGACTAACTTTCACAATTACGCCAAATGCAAAAGCATGTCCACGGTTCAGAAACAAACGCAAGGCTTGACTATCGGGTAAAATTGCAGCAATTAGCCACAAAAGTAAGCAGACGATTAATCTAAATAGAACAAGTATCAATCCAATCGGTAGATAAAGGAGCACAGAGAAAAGTCTCCATCCGCTAGGAAATCTGTAACATTGAAAAATTTATCATTCACAGCCGTCTGCAGGCTTTGATCTACTTATCACTTAACATTATCAAATGTTATTCGCTTCATTGTCACATATTTAAGGGACGAAAAAAGAAATAAGACGAGAGGGACAAAAAAAAAAAAAAAAGATTGACAACATGGCGCATATTGTGTCGCATAAACAATTAAACTTCGGTTGTAATGTAAAAGGGCGTAGATGTGACATTCGGAAATCTCTTAAATTTGGCTGAATTGAAATATATTCATTGACGTCACGACTCACCTGCTCTCGTCGAACAACTCGTTAATATCAATTTGTGACATTTCTCATGAAAACCATCTGTTACAATAAGGTCAAACTTTTAACACGGCAGATCTATTGTTGAATCATCGGAAACGTCGAAGAAGTCCGCGCAACTCTAACTTTAATTAGGTAAAATTTTCGTCTAATACTATACAAAATACCAAATTTCGTTAATCAAGCGTTTATAACAATGTTCTATGACCTTCCATTTCTCGATCAGCTGTTCAAAGCGCCTTACCACTCGCGCTATTTTACTGTGGGTGTGTTCTAAACGAATGTCGACAGAAATTTAGCTGCGAGACGATCAAAAGTATTAAAATTTTGGTAACATTGCGCATTGACTTCTTGACGATAGAGGACACACGCGTGTGACAAGTATGACTCGATGTTGTGATTCTTACTAAAAACAATGATTATTACGTAAAGGCGTATGGAAATAAAATACATCAGTGTCATTCGTTTTCGCCTGTATTCAAACATTTTTTTAACTAACTAAGGGGACTTTTTCATTTGCGTGTCGAATTTATTAAATTCGCTTGAAAACAAAACACACGCACAAACACACACGCACGCACACTCGCGCACATATGTATATATATATATATATATATATATCATCGTCATCATCATCATCATCATCATCATCATCATCATCATCATCATTTGTACAATAAAGTGATGGCAAGTTGGATTACACGATTACAGGAGTACACGAAGTAAATGCACTTAACTTTAGGGTGAGTCATAATTAAAAAGAATGAATTTTTATATTAAAAGCACGCGAATAATTTTTTTTATTTGTCATTGTATTATGGAAATAAATATCCTAAAACGTCCCTTCATCAACCTATCTTTTTTATTTTAAAACTTAGCCACTTTATGATATTTATTAAAATCCAGTGAAATGCAATTTCTTTTTATTACAATATTTTAATTTTTTAATTATCATCGTCGTCCTCATAATAATAATAATAATAATAATAATAATAATAATAATAATAATAATAATAATAATAATAATAACAATAATAATAATAATAATAATAATAACAATAATAATAGTATTAGTATTATTAGTATTATTAGTATTATTAGATTATTAGATTATTATCGTTGTCGTCGTCGTCATCATTAATTTATTTTATCGAAAATTGTTGAATTTTACAAGCCAACGAGCAATGAAAATTGTTGCGAAAATTCGAATAATTTTGAAATTATTCCTAGAATGCGTATAGGGATTTTAAGAATTTACCAAGAATTCGTCGTAGAGAATTATTTTTCACGTACTGTGCTCATAACCTTAAATAACCCGAACGATATGACAAACGTTACTGTTGTTATATTGTGGATTTAAGAGAATGGGAGTAGCTATTAAAATTTAATCTATCAAAGGCATAAAACATGTCGAGCATAGTTATTAATGCCCAAAGAGGATAATAATATTATTTTATATTTTGTACTAAGAATCTAGGGAATTTTTGTACGACCAACTACAACATTTCCCCAAGAATTTAATAAAAAATGGCTTCGCCCATGGATTAAATATAGGCGAAAGTTCCTCAATTTAAGATATTTTAAGTAAATTCAATTGAATTAATTAGCGTATATCTGTTATATATTAAAACAAGAGAGAAAAAAGCAAATGTTTTCATTTGTGAGGCATTATGTGCAAAAAATTATCGCTAGCTACTGAAGTTGTATGGAGGAGTTCTCTTGTTGCGTATCATTCTCGACATGCGTAAGCGATAATATACATCAATGTAGCGGACGAACGTTCGTGTCAAGGGATTGCATCTTCCAATCGACCCAAAATATTCAGTTTACATCTCCATCAACATATTTCAATGTGAGAGAATACATTATTAAGAGAATAAGATATTCAAGTTGTAAATAATAACTTTTCAAATGACAGCTGTCAATCATATAGATATTAATAGTAATTTACATTTTATTTTCCTTTTTATTCTTATAGAAGTTTTAAGTATGAAGAATAAGCATTACCAAGCTTGGAGTAATAAAGTTTTGAGGAGGTACGAAATGATTAGCGACAGATGAGCAATTTGGTTAGCTATCATGAAAACTCCTCCGTCACAGTCACAGAATGGTGGAGGTGGTTCTACCACTGTGACTGTAAAAAATGGAGATGAAAGTAATTCTCGTTTTTCGCGTTCATTAAAATCTAACAATTACATCAATGGTACAACGAAGGTAGGTAAGCAACAACTGGTTTCTCTAAACGGTGATTCAATATGTTGCAACAGTATAGAAAATGACGAAGCTTTGGCATGTGACATAGCACCTCTACCGACTAAAGCAAAGACCAAAGCATTATGTGTACATATTCGTGAGAATAGGTGGTACGATGCTGGAAACGTTGTGTCTGTGGGCGTCGCTGGAGCAAGCTTAAACGAAGCTTTAGAGAGTATGTCTTTAGCATACAGTCCCACGACGAAGCAAATATATTCCTTGGATGAAACACAGACTACAAGTAATAGAGATTTTTTACGATCTAACGATTCGCCACTCTCTTTAGGAGTACGAATAGATATAGATTCTTGCTCAGGTAAAGAAGAGCTTGAGAACAGTGGGAATAATAGTCCCAGAGGTAGTTTGCCTCGTTCGTGTAGCAGCACCGTTTCCTCTCTCAGCGAGTGCTCGGCTTCTAACAGTTATGTAAGCAACGAAGATGCCCAAGTCTCGCCAGGCAAATACAACAAGCTATGGCCACTAAATTCCAGTTTCATGAAGAACGTCTTCTCATGGAAGCAAAAGGATCAAACCCAACAACAGCAGCAACAGTATCATTGTCAACAACAGCAGCAGAATCATCATCATCAGCAGCAGCAGCAGCAGCAACAACAACAACAACACCAACAACAACACCAACAACAACACCAACAACAACAACAACAACAGCAGCAACAACAACAACAACAGCAGCAGCAGCAGCAACAGAATCAGCAACAGAATCAGCAACAACAGTTGTTAAAGGTTGCGTCCTCGAGCAGTCCGTCACGCAACTCCGACAAAATTGGCGGCAGTTTGGCATTGATTCAGCAGTGTCGACCAGCAAATCTACCGGCTAAAAGTGCCCTGGAAGAGGAGAGCCACCGACGTCAGTACAACGCGATCTTGGAAGCGGCTCGGAAGCGGGAGCTGCGCGAGGAGCGCGAGCGTCGCCTACAGCGGGAGTTGCAGCTGCGGGAAGAAGAGCGGCTGGCTGAAGATTCGCAGACGTGGAACGGGCAGGTGTTACCGCGCTTCGAGGCCATAAAGGATAGTCGTCGCGTTAGGGAGTTATGGTGGCGAGGTTTGCCGCCGAGCATTCGAGGCCGAGTCTGGCGGCTGGCCGTCGGTAACAGCCTCAACGTAACCGCGCACCTCTACAAGCTCTGCCTCGACCGGGCGATGTCGAACCCGTTGAACGAGTCCTTAGCCGCGATAAGACTCGACGTCTCCCGAACATTCCCGACCCTCTGCGTTTTTCAAGACGGTGGGCCTCTCTCGGACAATCTCCAGGGCGTTCTGGCAGCCTACGCGGTCTACCGTCCCGACATCGGCTACGTTCAAGGGATGAGCTTCATCGGGGCCGTACTCTCCCTAAACATGGACGCCCCGGACGCTTTCAGCTGCTTCGCCAACTTGCTGACCCGACCTTGTCATCTCGCGGCCAATGAACGCCTACTACAAAGCCTACTCGAGCGCCCTGGCGAATAGATTGCCCAAAGTTTACGCTCACTTTTTGGCGGCCGGGTTGAGTCCGGATCTGTATCTGCTCGACTGGCTTTACACAATCTACGCCAAGGCGATGCCCCTGGACGTGGCCAGTCGTGTCTGGGACGTCTTTTTGCGTGACGGTGACGAGTTCCTTTTCAGGACGGCCCTGGGCGTCCTTCATCTTTATCAGGACGAGTTGCTGGGAATGGACTTTGTGAGAGGTGCGCAGTTTCTCACGAGACTGCCAGAGAATATGCAGGCGGATGCGCTCTTCAACAGTATTAGTCAGATGTCAACTGTCGTCGGAGTGCTGAGTTTCCAACAAATGCTTATTCAGATATCGTCGGGCGCGTAAGAGCAACGAGAGAGCATCAATTATGTATTTAACGACGATGTTCCGACATACCGAATCGAATTCCAAAGGTGTAAAAGTTAAGTTGAAAACTAACAGTTATATAATTGCTGATAATTTCACCGAGTTATATTATTGACTAAATAATAATTGCTTGGCATGTTGAATATCATATAATTCTCTGATAGTTTTGAACAACAATTAATAGCTTTTGTCTAATTTGCATGTAAAAGAGCAGCATTTTTAAGAGGAATACGAATATTGATTTGTTAATTGATTAGTTAACAGTATGAGTAAGCTTAGCGGTAATTGAATAAAACCGACTGTCAGAATTATTTAAACAATATACGGTATACTCTTATTACTTCACTGTGCTTACAAAAAAAAAACATTTACATATATATATATATATATATATATATATATATATATATATATATATATATATATATATATAATATATATATACACAATTATATATATACACATATAAATTTTTTTTTTTTTATCAATTTATTAAAGGAATTATCAATTATATAACAAAGTTCTCGATTAAACTTTCTAATCACACGGATTTAAATGAAATTACTGATTTATTTTTGCATTACAGTAGAGGAAACATGTACGTTGTAGTACTTGTTTTGGTGCCAAGTTTCCTCTATATTATGCACAATTTCATCACTTATATTATGGAAGGGAATCTCGGTAGTTTTTTAAATCTTTACACGTCTTTTTTAAAAATGTGATGATAAAGAATACAAAGATGTAGGATCGATGTAGAAACCCTAAGGTTTTAAAATTATGTAAGTGTTAATTTTACTTTATGCGAGTCATTTTTAAAATGATTTCATCCACATTTTATTTACTATCATTAGCTATATTATATTGGATATAGATCTTAAAAAAAAAAAAAAAAAAAAAAAAAAAAAAAAAAAAAAGATGATATTTCGAATGAATTCATTACAAATTACGCTATCAGCCAAAGAATTTACTCTATTACTTATGTGCTGTGTTTTTGATACTACACA